ATCACATTTCCCCTTGAATCTACCACTTGGGAGAGAAATGAACTTCAAATTAGATGAGAATATATACATGGAGCTGTGGGGGCACCATGATTCTGGCTCCAGCAGGGAACTCACAGCACGCCAGAGACATAAGCACAAAATATCATCACTCTCTTGGGGTACAGTTATTATATGGTCCCACAGACAACTACATAACCTTGAGGCCCCAACATTCATGGCCAAGTTCCATGTCAGCCCTGCTTTGTCCACAGACACCTGCCTCCCTCAAGCTCCCTGTGCTCAAAGGACAGCAGCATCCTCAAGAACTTCCATAAACACTGACTCCCAAAGGAACAGAGAAAGAAATGAAGTAATACTCATATACTCAACTCATTAAGGACTTCAATTTTCCATGGTTTATATGCTACAGGCATATAAGCCATGACGGACTTTCATGGAGGCCCTAATATTCAAAAAGCTTTGTAGGCGAAGGCAAGAGGATGTGACAGCCTTAACTAGGGATGTTCAATACCTAAACAGGGACAGGCCTGTGTGCCATAGCAGGATTTTTCCTGGATTCAAGGGTAAGCAAGCACCCAGCATGCTGCCATGGGACCAACAAGGACCCACCTCTGCAGGACCACAACTCAAGAGCCAGAGGCAGACCCACTAGTAGTGTGCTTATGAATACAAGTTGTTCACAAAAAAGCACTCACTCACTGCCAGCTCTCCTAATAAAGAACTCATGATGCTTTTGCTCTGCAACATCCCTCTGTGGACACCTGGGTGGAAGCTTTCTGCAGTATCCTGTTCTGTCCCAAACAGAGTAGACCATTCCCCTAAAACACTGCTGCTGAAAACCACCACTGAATATGCACAGCCCCTGAGGGGAAGGTTTCCAGCTTCACAAAGATCCAAAATCTTGGTGCACACCAGCATCAGCAGACACTGGGTGGGCAGGATAGGAGGCTGTCTTACAGATGCTGGACATGTGGTCACAGTATCACATCGTGACTGCTTCAGATGCCAGTGCTAATAAAAAAAGGCCATTTTGATTACTCACGTTTGTGAAGTTGGAGAGAGCGTAATTCACTCACACACCTGTCTAAGGAACAAGCCTGACAAGATGTTAAGGGAGGTAAATAACCCAGCTATGATCAGGAAGGAGGGTCTGGGCTCCTCTGGATCAATATGTCCTTCACCAGGTGGGGGGACCTTCCTGACACATGATCAGAAGAGCACAGCAAGTATAGGCCAAAAACAAGAAAATGAAACATACATATTAAGGACTTCTGTTTACTTATTTATATTTATTTTTGGTGGGACTGGGGTTTGAAGTCTGGTCTTCACACTTGCAAAGCAGGCACCCTACCACCTGAACCACACCTTTAGTCCATTTTGCTCTGATTATTTTGCAGATAGGGTCTCATGAACTATTTGCCCGGGCTACCCTGGAACCATGATCCTCCCAAGTAGCTAGGATTACAGGCATAAACCACTGGCATCTGGCTTTATTTTTTAGCAGTCCTGGGGTTTAAACTCAGGGCCTCGTGTTTGCTAGGCAGGCACTCAACCATTTGAAACACAACCCTAGTCCATTTTTACTTTAGGTAAATTTAATTTTCAGGTAGGGCCTTATGTTTTTGCCCAGGGCCAGCCTCTGACTGTAATCCTCCTACCTATGCCTCCTATTAGCTGGGACTACAGGCATGGACCACCCCTTACACCCCAGTTAATGATTGAAACAGAGTTTTGTTAGCTTTTTTCCCTGTCTGGCCTGGAACCTTGATCCTCACAATCTCCACTTCCTGAGTCACTGGACTGAGGGCTTTTAATAATGAGGAGGAGATCAGGTGCCGATGGCTCATGCCTGTAATCCTGGCTATTCAGGAGACAGAGATCAATCAGGAGGATCATGGTTCAAAGCCAGTCCAGGCAAATAGTTTGCGAGAACCTATCCTGAAAAAACCCATTACAAAAAAAGGGCTGGTAGAGTGGCTCAACGAGTACGCCCTGAGTTCAAACCTCAGTGCCACAAAAAAAAAAAAATTAAAAAAAATTCCCAACACAAAAAATAAGTCTGGCAGAGCACCTGCTTAGCAAGTGTGAGGTCCTGGGTTCAAACCTCAGTACTGCCAAAAAATAACAGTAAAGAGGAAAAATATTCACCTATCCTTTATAAGAGAACCAGAAACCTGAAGCTCCTATTACAGCTTTTTCAAAGAAAAACATGGTGCTGAATCTGGAGAATCAGTCACTCTGGAGCTTCCAAACCCCAAACAGTCTCCCTAAGGAGGCCTAAGTGTTCTTGTACCCACCAAGTTCACCCTGTGAAGAGTGCTCCCTGTGTCCTCAAGCTAAGCATATCTCAACCTCAAGAAGTCCTACACACTGAGACTACAGATGTAACCCAGGCACACTCCCCTCTCTGATTGATGTTGCAGGACACCTGTGGGAATGTGCAAACTTGTCTTGGCCTCACCAGTACGTGCAGTCTAAGAGTGGACTTTCCATACGATTTCTGGTAGATGGGCCACTGTAGAACCAGCCTACTGTCTCACATCTCTGCTATCCTGAGGCAGTTCTCCACGTTTCTTTTTTCTTTTTTAATTTTTTTTTTTTTTTTTTTGGTGGGACTGGGGTTTGAACTCAGGGCTTCACATTTGTAAAGCAGGTGCTCTACCACTTGAGCCACAACTCCAGTCCATTTTGTTTTTTATTTTTTGGAGATGGGGGTCTCATGAACTATTTTCCTGGGTTGGTCATGAACCGCTATTCTGCCTATCTCAGCCTCCCAAGTAGCAGGGATTACAGGCACGAGCCACAGGCGCCCAGCTTGGTCTCCAAGTTTGAAGCACTACTGGCCCCACTTCAATTAGCACATTGTTAGAAGTATGGCAATGAATGCCAGCCTAACAAAGGAGAAGGAAGTAGGGTCCAATCCAATTATTAACTGTGTGCATGCAACTGGAGCTGGTGGGGCTAGCTAGTGGAGCTGAGCTGACCCTCAAAAGCACAAGTTAACCTCCCAGGAAAACACTAAGCCCTTATAATGTCCAGCCCCTCCCACAGGCTTCTATCTGCCTGCTGGGAGTCAAACACCAGGAAGTGATGCTACCTCTGGAAAAACAACCTGGCAGTCTGTCTGAGCATAAGTGTCACCCTAGGGATGTCCAGTCAAGTGCCAGTTCAAGGTGGCCTGGCTAGTGCAGAGTCCTAAAGTGTGAGGCGCCCCCTCACAGTCCTGATGGGCCTCACACTTTCCCTCCCCCCACCCGAAAACAGCTCTTTCTCCGGTACTTGGAAACATCTGCTGTAGAACTGAAGCTAAGAGCAGGAGTTTCTGGAGGTGGCTCAGAGAAGATCCAGCACTACTGCTGAAGAAGAAGGTCCCTCCACCTCAGTTCAGGTAAACAACACCCTTGGTAAGTCCTAAAACCGAAAGGTATGCCTTGCCCACACTCTCAGCTGCCCACAAGCAAGAGATCTGCCAAACAGCAAATGCTCAGAGCAGTCGGACAGGACTGACAGGAGACCAAGAACAAGACAAGGAGTCGGAGAACATGGACAGGAGGAGAAAACTAGTCAGGTGAGAACACTTCCAGAGCAAGCAGTGACCCTGGAGAAGCTGGATGACCAATGGCCACCGGCTCCTCCTGTTTTGAAGGCTCGGTCCCTGAACCCTCAACCTGGGACCGAGTCTCACCGAGCAAGTGTGAAGCCCTGAGTTTCTACCTTAAACACCTAAATCAGGAGGCAAGCTCAGGCAGGGGCCGGGCCGGTGATGCAATCTACCGTATGTATTTTTGCCATGCACCCGGAAGTTAAAAAGAACGACATCGCAGTAGAGGCATTTTCTCCCCGCACAGCTGTAACTACCGCAACCCCAACCAAACCTCCGGCGCGGGGGGCTGGGGAGGGAAGGAGGCGAGGACTCGGCCATTCGCGCGGTGTTCGCCCCGTCCCATCCCTGGTCCTGCGGGACCTCCCTGCCAGCCGGACGCCGCCGCCCAGCTCCAGGCCCGCTCGCGGACAACCCTGTCCTCCTCTGCCAAGGCAGGGATGGTGGGCGCCGCAGCGCTCGCGCTCCGAGGCCCCGGCACCCGCCGTCCAGGCCGCTCCCGCCCCGGCGTCCCCGCCGCCGCCCGGGCCTACCGTTGCTGTAGGCGTACGGGGACTCGGCTGCGCCGTCCTGCAGGCTCTCCAAGATCTCACCCTTGCCCACGTCGCTGTCGCCCACCAGTAGGAACTTAAGCAGGTAGTCGTAGCTCTTCACCGGGCTGCCCTGGGTGCCCATCCTCCCGCCCGCCGCGGCCCACGGCGCCGCCGCCGGACCTGCGGGCGAAGGCGGGTGAGCGGCGCTGCGGACTCAACACGGAGGCTCCCGCCCGCTGGCCGCCGCCCTCGCTGTGCCCATCTGGCCACCCGGCCGCCGCCCGCCTCACCTCAACCTCGCAGCCGCGGCCGCCACCGCCCGCCGCTTCCCGCACGGCGCCGCACAGCCCCGCCGCCCCGCCCCACCCCCGGCTGCGCCGCCGCCATTGGCCGCCTTCCGCCCGCCTTCTCCAGTCCATTGGCCTGGACGCCTGACCGTCGCGGTCGCCCCGCCCAAGCGTTTCCGACACTGCGCCGCGGAGCGGCAGGTCGCCCTGCCCCCTCACCGTCCCACCCGGCACCCGTTGTCGTTCCCATTGGACTTCCACACTCCTCTTTCCCACGGTTGGTTGGTCTGTCCACCAGTCCGTCACGACCGCCCTGTCCCCGACGTTTCCCACACAGCGTTGCGGAGACTGTGGACGCCCTGCCTAGTTGTCGTAGCCATTGGCTACTCGCCCTCATTTTTCCAGAACCATTGGGTGCTCTGCACGTCCATCAAGACCACTACCGCCCCCCCACCTTAGAGCGCCCGGACGCCACCGACAGCCCCGCCCACTGGTCTACAACACCAATTGCCTTCGCCCGCCCCTCCCCGTCACTATTGGCCACCGGTGCCGAGTCATTGGGCAACCTACACGTCGATCATGGCTCGCTAGCCCCGCCTCCTTTCCTAATGCTCACCAAGCAGGCGCCTGTAATTCCAGGCTGTTTGCACATGCACCCTTCCCTTCCGGGACTGGAGGTAGGACAGCGGCAGCGCCTTTTCTGAAGCCACGCGGCTGCGTCCGAAAGAACCAAGTGCCCTACCAAGCTGCACCCGCTGCTCCCGCAGACACCCAGAAGGGTTGCGAGGCGACCCCGTCCAGCCATCTCAGGTGCGCATTCCTCGGGAACCAATCGGCGCTCAGCGAGACGGGGTTAGGGCTTTCTCCTGGGCGGGGCGTCCTTGGGGGGCGGGACTTCCGCCGGGGTGTGGACGGCTGCTGTGTGCTCAGGAGCGTTGTAGACGACCGAGTTCCGCCTCTGAGCGGAGCCTCCAGGGACACTTGTAGGGACAGCTCTTCTGGGAGAGGGCCTGCGGCATGGAGCCGGTGTCGGAGCAGCGATGGCCACAATAGACCCGACGGACCTCAGGGCAAACCTGGGAAGTCGGCAGCTCGCCGCAGGTGCACTCGCAGGTGGCCGATTCCAAGACTGGAGTCCAGTGACCGCGTTCCTGAGCGAGTATTCGCACTATCCTGTAATTTACAGCCAGTAACTCAAAAGGTAAGCGCAGAATTCCTCATCATGTAGCCTTCTGACCCGTCCGCAAGAAACCTGTACGTGAATGTTCGTAGGAAACCGCTGGAACGACCAGCCAGGTAATAACTGAAAGTTACGTCCACACGGTGGGGCGTGTCACTCACCTATAAAGAGGAACGAAGTACTAACACGTGAATGAGCATCGAAAACATAAATATTACGTGATTCTACTTGTATGCCATGTTCAGAAGGGGCAAATCCACTACACAGTACAGTAGTATTTGTCAGGGGCTGGGGGAAGGAGCAAGGGGAGTGACTGCTTAGCAGGTACAGGACTCTTTTCTAGAGTGATGGTAAGGTCACCGAAAATCATTGAATTGTGCATATAGGGTGCCTCAATAAAGCTGTTAAAATTATCTAACAAGTGGGGTGCGGTGGTGCATGCCTGTAATCCCAGCTACTTGGGAGGCTGAGGCAGAAGGTTCAAAAATTTGGTCAGCCTGGGCAACCTTGCCTAAGGGGGATAAAAAAAAAAACAAGAAAAGAAAGAGAACATGAGGGCTGGTGATGTGGCTTGAATAGTAATGCACTTATCTAGCAAGCACAAGGCTGTGGGTTCAAACCCTAGTATAGCAAAAAGGGAAGGAAGAAAGGAGGGAGGAAGGAAAAGAAGGAGAAATACAACAAAAAGAAGGATGTCATCAAAGTTGACCCACATGCAGCCCTTTGGGGACCAGAAGCTGCTGCTGCATATGGCTACAGGAGAGTTAAGACTCCCTGGAAACACAGATCTGTGCAGAAGCAGCAGTCCAGAAGTGGCCATTCCCTGGACACTGGATCACAGCAGATTCACAGAAAGGGTATTGTCATCACCATGTGCCCCCCCATAGGCTGGCAGGGATGCTCCCAGCTGCCACACCTCTCCCAACTGCTGGGCAGGCAAGGAACAGGAGCAGGCAAGAATCTCCTCCCGGAGGGTCACTGAACCCAGGCTGCACTTCCAGCAGTAGGTGACCTTCACACAGAGCAAACCCCTGGATGGGCAGAGCCAGACCAAGTGACACCATCCTCACCCTCAAAGCTGAAGACATGACCTTTGTTGAGCATGTAGCCACATGGACACTGTTTGGTTTGAGGAGACTTCTGTGAGGAGCTGTCCCTCAGGTGGGTGGCAGCAACTGACGAGTAAGCAGTGAGCCTTCTTCACTTGCTTTCAGGGAGAGGCTTTTCTGCTGTCTTCTTGGTCAGGTTGTGCAGGACAGGGGATTCTGTGTCCAGATGGCCAGAACCACACTGAGCCTTCCAGACAGAGCTGTTCATCTCATTCATAATCCCCAAAAGAAGTTGTCCTGTGCATTTCTTTGGGCCATGTCCTCCTTGTGGGAGTGGCCATTCCCTGGTCACAGCAGATTTACAGAAGGTGTACACTCATACACACCATTTTTACAGACCAACAGCAAAACAGTCGTGACTCTCAGCTGATGAGGAGCAGGGAACTGAGTTTCCACAGAGACCAGAGACTGAGCACTAACAACTTGATGGCCAGGGAGGGCTACTCTTGCAGAGAGGCCACCATGCCCAATTTGAGCCCAAAATCTGGTCTGTAGTTCCCATCCCCTACAGAACCTGTGAAGTCTGAGGACCTTTTTCCAGGGACTGGAATCAACGTAGGGGTGATGTTTCTTCATGGTTTCTGAGGCTACCTGCAAGGGATGGTAGGAAGCCAACTCCAAAGACTGAATCACAGGCACCTGTAGTGATTAATTTCTAGCGTCCACTTGACTGAATTAAGGAACACCTAGAGAACTGGTAAAGCAATCCTGGGTGTGTCTGTGAGGATGTTTCCAGAGAGATTGGTCTTTGACTCTGAGTGGACTGAGTGGGACAATCCAACCTCAGTCAGTGGACCAGGGACCCACTCAGACAGCAGAAGCAGAGGAAAGGTAAAGTGGTCTCTGTCCTGGAGAGACACTTCGGCCCTAGATGGCAGAAATCCGGGTTCTCTAGTCTTTGGACCCCAGGACTTCTCCAGTGGCTCCCTTAGGTTCTCAGACCTTCAGCCTCCAACTGAGGGTTACATCTTTGGCTTCCCTGGTTCTGAGGCCTTTGGACTTGTACTGAGTCATGCTAGCAGGGTCAGCCATGGTCCCAGGGTCTCCAGCTTAGACAGGCTGTTGTGGAACTTCTCAGCCTCCATAATCACATGAGCCATTTCTCCCTGATAAATTCCCTCTCAAATATCAGTTCTCAAATATCTCTCAAATATCCCTTTCAAATATCATTGCCAAGCTAAATATCAGTCAGAGAGAGATACTCTCCAGTAATAGTATTTATTTGGAAACAGCAGGGTGTGGCAGTGAAAATATACAACTATAATGAACTATGGATGAGGCAAGGGGAAGCTTTTAAAGGCAAATATGAGGATTACCTAAGATAGTTTGAAATAATAACCCTTGGCCACAGGGATTAATAACAAAGATGACCTCACTCCTGCTGGGCAGATGTCCTTGCAGAGCACTTTTGGTATAAGGTCCTGGTGTAGGGTCTGTGAGCATGTGGCTCCGGGAGTCCTTTGTGATGGTTACTATCAGGTAATCATGCCTGAGAACCTTCCTACAGGAACCCATATGGGCATGAGGCAATGGGCCCACTGGGAAGGAGGGCTGGTGGATAGAGGAGCTGACCTCCTGTGCAGTTGCAAGGATGCCTACTAATGCCAGGAAGGCTAGGAAGGGACAGAACACTATCTCTGCTGTTGGCATGCCTCAGACCACAGCCAAAGCAGCTAAAGAGAGTAGAAGTATGACCTAGATTTCCACTAGGTCAGCCCCAGCCTGGGTGCCTATTTGTAAGGTTGTAGAGCCCTGAGCAGCATGCATCTGATAAACACCTACAGTCTCCTTTGTGGCTCCTACACCCACTGCCTCCAGGCAAGGACAAGGATCAGAACTCCAGACTCAGGTTTTGTCTGACCAAGTGGGTAGGGTGGGGGACAAAGGGATCTGGGAGTTTGCCTGCTATGGTTTGAATGTGTCCTTCAAAGAGTTATGAAGAGGAGGCTAGAGTCCAGAGCAGTCCCTGGCCTAGGTCTCCACCAAGAGTCAGTGGAGACTTGATCCCCAAATTCATGTTAATTATGGTTAAGCCTATGGAAGGTAATTAGAGTTAGATGAATGGGGTCATGAGGTGGGGCTCCCATAGTAGAATTAGCAGTTTTGTAACAGCAAGAGATCTGGTACACTTGCTCTCTGCCTATGTGATGTCATACACCCATGCTGTGATGCAGCAAGAAGGCCCCCATAAGATACTGGTGCCCTGCTCTTGGACTTCCCAGCCTCCAGAACCATAACCCAAATAAACCTCTATTCTTCACAGATGCCTGGTCTCGCATATTCATTATAGCAGCAGAAACAGACCAAGAGAACACCTCGCCACCCTGTGCTATACCAAACCCTCAGAAGGCTTGGAGACCACCCACTGGGGCAAGCAGACCTTCGCCCTGAAGCACTGTGCCCAAGAAGCTCAGGAAGTACCCACAGGTGTGGACCCCCAGCCCTAGACAGTGTCAAGGAGAGGTCCCACTAGTGGACAGAGCCAGAAATCTTGATGGACTCTACAGCTAGTGGAAAGAGAATGATGAGGGATGGGCTATTTGCCTTGTCACAAGTGTCTCCAGACAAGTTACTCTAATTACAAGGAAGGTGACTTTGCTGTGGGAAACCTGGCAGAAAGCTACCTGAACCAAGTGATCAGTTCAACAGCCTCAGGGATGGACAAGCAGACATCATGTGCCTCCCAAGGCAACACCCTAACCAGAACAGCAGTGCTTGTGTACTGTTCTGCCACAAACCCATGAGCTGCATCTCATCATGAGAACCATCAGACAAACCCAAATAGGGACACTCCTCTGCAGGTGGCATCTCTTAGTGGCTGCAAGTGGCTACAGTGGCCAGTGTTCCCTTAGCCTGCTCTGGTGCCAGGCCCTGACTGGCCCTTGAGGGATGGGCAGACAGCCCAGCACCCTGCAGAGGGAGTGACAGCTGCCAGGCAAGTCCCATGACAAGGCCACATACAGAAGTGGACTGGGCCAAGGGCAAGGACCCTTTCCTAATGGAGGCCAGGAGGAGGGGTGAAGAGGCAAGAACCAGTAGCTGAAGGAGTAGAGGTGGGCAGGCATAGCAGGGAGACAATGCAGGTAAGACATTTGGCAGCCTGTGTGCAACTGAGCCCCAATATCTGGTTGCCAGGAAGCCCAAGTCAGAGACCTCTGCACTTGGGGCCCTGGCTGTGGGACCCACCTGGAGAGCAGCACCCAGCATCCCATACGATGAAGCTCACTTTTTTATTTCCCAGTGGGACTGGGGTTTAAACTCAGGGCTTCCCACTTGCAAAGCAGGCACTCTACTGCTTGAGACATACCTCCAGTCCACTTTGTTCTGGTTATTTTGGAGATGGGGGTCTCACAGACTATTCTTCAGGGCTTGAACTGCAATTCTCCCACTCTCAACCTCCCAAGTAGCTAGGATTACAGGCATGAGCCACTGGCACCCTATCTGGAGGCCACTCTTGGCAGGCTCTGGGTAGACAGTCTTGTGAGGGGTACCTTAGCCTCTCCAGAGGGACCCTTGATGGAAGCCCAGGCCAGAGAGCTGCTGATGGGACTCTCTGGGCTACAAATCCATCTCTATAACCTGGACAGTAGGCAGGAGGCCCTGGGCTCCTAGATGCTACAGAATGGTTTCATTTCAGTACAAAGACTGGCCCACCCTGCATGAAGACCACCTATTCATCAAAGCCAGCAGTGGCCAACCCTCTGCCCTAGGAGCCAGCCCTTTATGCTGCATGAGGCTGTGACCAGAGGCCCTGTGCCCAGGTCCATCCACCTGTGCAAGGATATCACGGGCGCAGGGCCTGTGTACCCACCAGATCTGCTACAGGCCTCAAATAGGAAATAGTCATGGTATTCACCTCACAGCAAACCCAAGTCCTCTGGGAAGTGTCTGCATCCACCCAGCCCACATTCCCTGTCTCCCCGACCTACACACACATGCTATGGGAAAGGCCCAGTTAGTGCTCCAAGCGCACAGGTTTTATTTTCACCACAGTAAAAGTCAAGTTCAGGACCCATCCCTACCTTCACTTTTCACTAGGTGCTTAAGAGTTGCTATAGCCTGCAGCAAAGGAGTATGGGAGGTGGACAGTCCTAAGTGCCCTCAAGAGACAGGCAGGAATCACTGCTCCCTCCTGCCCATACCAGACATTTTCACATCATCCAGCGCCCTCAGGCATCCCCCCTCCCAACTGCCTCCCCAGGGCCACCAACACTGTGGGCTGCAGAAGTGCCTGCCCTAGGAAGGAGCTGCCTCCATCTGCAAGAAGCCAGAGAGGAGATGGAAGATTTTTCTAAAAGACCTGTCATCACAGGGACACTTGGCAGGATCAAGGGAGCCAGTTGGGTGGGCACCCAATTTTTCAAAAAGGCAATTTGGGCCACCCCCCATGGCCTAGCTTCAATCAAAGGAACAACCAATGGCCTTCTAGCAGCTCTTCGCAAAGCAATCTCCAGGAAACATCAACAAACAAACCCAGCAAGGTTCAGGGTATGAGGGGCTGACCCATTGGGCTGGGAGTCAGCAGGTGCTTCAATCCCCATATTGGGGGGGAGGGCGTGTTCCACTGGAGCAGTTGGAAAGCCTCAGGAACTCAGGAGTGCATCCTGGGAGAGGTACCTCAACCCCACCTAATAGGGTGACAGGGTGGGACCCTGGGAGCAGCCAGGGAGACCTGCCAGCACACTCCACAGGGTCTGGGTACTTCTCAACAGGTCTAGGGGCTGCTGGACATCAGGCCAAGACCACAACAGACCAGGAAATAGGTCCCAAGGTAGATGGTACTAGAAGGTCAGTGCAGGCTGGCAACTGGCAAGGCCTGCAGAGGCCCCAAAAGCCAGGGTGGGAACTTAAGAGTAAGGTCCACTCATACTCCAGAGCATGTGGAGTGCCTGGTTGGCCCTTACATGGGATGTGTGCTGTCCCCAAGGTCAATGCCACCCTGGAAGAGAGGGGTGATGACTGTGCAGTGGTGCTGTGTAGGCTGCAGCTGGGCCTCAATCCTGCTTGTCCCCTCTCTGCCTCCAAGGATAGATAAGCTCTCCAAAGAATAGCTTGCGGCACAGGGAGCCCCAAGAATGCTTAGGGTGACAGCCGCAGCTGGGCAGGCGATAGGTATGCACCACACGGCTGTAGGGCAGGGGATTTATCTGGAAAGACAGAGCAGTGGTCAATGGGGTGAATGGTTAGAGGTACTTGAGTGTCTGAAAAGCAAGCATTGGGATGCCAGCCTGGATAACCCTCGGGGATATCCCTGGACTGGGCAATTGTGAGGCAGGGCCATCTGGGCCCACACATGCCCTCAGCATGCCTGTGGCACCAGCAGGGCAGACCCCCAGGATCAGGGCAGTACACTCAGACGTCAGACAGATGCTCTCCTGAGGGAGAGAGGTAGGGCAGATTCTCTCCACCCCAGGATCAACTCAGCTAAGACCATGCAGATGCCTCAGCATCTGGGAGATGACATATTGGGACAAGAAGATCTTGGCTGAAGAGGCATCTTTACATCTGGCAAGTCACCCAAAAATGCCCTTCTCCCCTCTGCAGGGACCAAGCATCCAGGACTGTTTAACATGAAGTTGCCAACTGTCCAGCCTGACAAAGAAAACCTGCATGACCTGAGGCCTTTGTTAAGTCAGTTCTGTTTCATCCAGACCTTGAACCCTGTAGAGCCCAGGGCAGGAAACAGGACATAGGGCCAACTGGCACCCCTAGATGTATGGCTCAGGGCAGGGGGACCCCATCCACATTGGGCACTTAGGTGCTGCTCGGTGGGGGAGCTCAGACATAGTGGATCATGGTTCCCAGAGGTCTTGGGGGCTACCCCTGTGTAACCTATCCCTGAGCTCTGCTGGGCTCTGCTGACCATACCTGACCCCAAGATGGCATGACAATATCCAGGACCCACAACGGCTAACCCTAGCTTTCCTAGAACCAGACAGAGCATGTTGGGAGGGGATCCCTGAGTAGCAATGAGGGGCAAAGGGAGGCCTTACCTGCATCAGGAGGCGGAGGGGCCTGCCTGCCTCATGCTCCAGGACTCGAAACTTTACACCAGCTGCAAGGAAAGCAAAGTGCTTAAAAGTGAGGGTGACAGCCCTCATCCCCCAGTATACATGGGACCCCACAGACAGCCCCCATGGGTGGGTTCTATTGTGTGCTGTGGGTCAGCAGAAGCTGGTGTGGGCAGAGACCTCTGACAATGGAAGCCCCTTTGTCTGAGCAGCAGTTGGATGGCAGCAGGCCTGTCTGGGAACACACAACTCTCTTGACCCCCACCCTTCTGATCTCCCCTACAGAACATCACTGGGAGACAGAGGAGTGCCCTGCAGGCAGGGAAGAGCTGGCAGGGCATCAGGTGAGCACAGGCTGTGTTCTTTTCTGGACAGGATGTGGATTTTCTCATTTAGCACATAGGGCACTTGCTGGGTGGTAGCTGTCTTGTTGGCTGCTCAGTCTTCCAACTATTGTGTGTTTGGTGACCCACAATGTTCCTGGCCTGCAGTTTGGGCTCCTAAGTGTAGGAAATCCCAAGGCGGAGGCTCTTGAAAAGAATAAGAGCTAAACATTATTTGATGATGAGGCCCCAAGGCAAACATGGTGAGGGAGAGAAGAAGCAGTGTCTGTGGCCTTTCAACCCTGGTGTGGCATGGGCTGCATAATAGGGAGGAAGGAGCCCCACACCCCAGGCTGTCACAGGGCTTGCTTTGCTCTACTCGGGCCTCATATTCTGAAGTGAATAGGGGTGGGGCAGAGGGCACTGCACTGCAGATGGGTCCCTGGCCTGGGTCACCTGGGCTGGGTGGAGAAAGTAGCTTAGAAAGATGTTCTAAGGGTTTGTGGGTATCCAGCAGCAAGCAGCCACCAACCTGAGGAGGCAGACCTTAGTTCAAGGCCGATGAATGTTCATGGCTCTGAGCTGGCTGGGAGAGCCAGCTGGGCATGCTAGTCACCTTGAAGGCCACCTGAACTGGTACAAGACACAGCCAGAAAATCCTCAGGCTCTCTGCTGTTCCAAAGCCCCAGTCAAAAGAGCTGAGCCAGAGCCCCATCCTAGCAGGGACAGTTGAGGTGGCGAGTGTTGACTGCAGACAATGTAGGATATTCCTGTTACACAGGGTCTGACTAGCCTGGCAACCCTCACCCCAGCCTGTCCCTGCAAGACTGAGAGGCACCAACAGTCACATAGCCCACACAACCATAAGGAGATGCCTCCAGTCTATGTATCTGAACCCCAGCTCCATGAAGCCTTTCACTCCTGGTCCGACAGATGCCATGGGCTAAGAGGGTCTTCCTTCCTGAGGTGTACAAGGCCAGAGCACAGGTACTGTTGCAGGGTCCATGAGTGTGCATTCCACCTGCCAAGAGCCAGCCACCTAGCACACAACACTTACATGCCAGCCTGTAGGGCCGGCAGAGTCGAAGACCAAGTGAGTATAGCGGTAGGGAGTTGATGAGGTCCACAAGCAGATGGATCAGGCCCTGCACGGTGACTACCAGGAGCCGGAGCTGCAACAGAGGTGACATTCAGGGACACATTGGACATGCCCATGAGCAGAGCAGCCTGACAGGGTCCGGAGCCACAACAAAAGGTGACCAGAGGCTCAAGGATGTCGGGGAAAGCATGGATCCCACTATGAGTAGAGCACAGAGCCCACCTTTGGGTCCGGAACCTAAGGCCCAGGTGCTAGGAGGCAAGAGGGAAATAGCAGCTCTGCTCCAGAATGGAGCTGGAAGCAGTGTAGTTGACCAGAACAGAGACTGCATCCCACAGTCCCACACACTGACTGGCCTGGACTACCTGGGTGCTGCTCATGGCCTGCTGACAATCTCCCATTGACACTACTTATCATTACTCTACCTACTTACCATGGGTCCTGCCCTCCCCTGTAGCCAGTCATGTGCCCCAGGGTAGAAGGAAGTGCTCTCCTCAGAGTAGGACTTCCAACTGCTCCAGAGCCAACACACAGTTCCCAGAGTGTCCAAACAGCCATGCTAATGTGGCCAGCAGCGGATGGATAGCCTGCCCACTGCTGCCTAGCTCATAGGCAGGGCTGGGAATGACCATTCCAATTACTGTAGGCTCCAAGAAGTGAGGTGCAAGGCTTACCAGGGTGAATACCAGGTAGTACAGGGCTGTGGTAGGTAGTAAGAAGACCAGGATTGTGAAGAGCAAGGTCCCAATGAACAGCTGCAGGGAGAAGGGGCCAACAGACCTAGCATCACAAGACCTGGCCAGGGGTACCACTCTCCTCCCATCCTGTAACTACAGTTGGGACCTTTCAGCCTCCTGAGCTAACTAGGGACAGCCTGCTCAGACAGCTTTCCCAGAAGTATATCCATGTGCCCTGTGGACCTGGGGGCTGGTGGAGAAACCAGCCAGCAGGTGCATAGCCACACACAGTATTAGGAAAAAGTGCCCGTCAGATATGGGTAAGTGAATGGGACAAGACAGATCAGGCCCTGTGCCTGGGGCCCAGAGGTCAATCTCCTGGAGGCACCTCCCCCAAGGCTAACTGTAGGACAGGAGTAGGCTGCCCCCTGGAGGTGCTCAAGCAGCTGCCCTAGCCAGGCAAGCAGGACTGGAGACTTCAGGTCAGCTAGCAGGCCAGTTGCAGCCAGGAGCTCCTCCCTCCACAAGCCCTGCAGGTACCTGGTCAAGGTCATAGGAGCAGGAGTCCACCCGCTGGCGCAGAACATTCCACTTCTTCCCCCGGAACAGACGCCAGAGAGAGGATAAGCCATAGATCTTTAGGCAGTATAACCTGCAGGGCACAGTTCCATGAGGGCCAGCTGGGGTCTTGCGCCATGTTGCACCTCACCCACCCACCACAGAGCCTGTTGTGTGCACCCAGGACTTGCACTCAGGGAACATGGCCCACCTGGCACCGTAGACGTAGAAGCAGTAGATATGGAAGGTGAGAAGGGCGATGATATCCGACAGGATGGACAGGGCGACTGTCAGTCCCAGGCAGGCTGAGAGGCCCACATGCCACAGGATGCGCTCAATGAAGGGGGACATGAGGTGGATGTAGCCTACAGGATGGTTAGTCCTGAATGGGGTGCCCAGAAAGGCACAAGGACCCTCAGTCCCTCTGTCCCTCAGTGAGGGTGGATGCCTGAGGCTTCAGAAAACTGCAGGTACACAGAACATACCACTGGCTCTGACCCTCAGCCCAAGCAGCTAGCCCAGCACAATAGCCTTCACACACATGGGAGGCCAGGAAGTGGAGGCAGAGGGGACAGGGACTGGCTGGGGCCCCCCGCCCTCTTCAGTAAGCACTTATGGGCCACCTTACCCTGTGTATCAGGTACTCACTGATCCATAGGTGTATATGGTACAAAAAGAAGCGGCCCAGCACCTGGTCCAATGCCCGGTTCATCTTGAGTCCAGCAGGAGCACCCATCAGCCACTGCAGCAGATGCTGGAGCTCCTCAGCCACATGCTGCAGGGACATGGGTGGTGGGGATACAGGCACTTGGGGACCAGTGTTCATCCATAATGGGCTCCCACTCTGGCCAACCCATCTGAGCAGGGCAAAGGCAATCAACACTTCCTTCCCTACAGAGTTCAGACTATTGTCTTCTGTTAGGAGATAGGCACAGGGTTTCCCAAACTTGTCTGGCCACGGAAACCTTCCAAGATGACTTCTGGGATTTGCGTCTGGGGCCTTTCCCAACAGGCCCAAGTGCATAACCTGGGCAACCGACAGTTGCCCCTGGCCCTCTGAACTGTGTTCTCAATAGATGAGAGCATCTTTTCCACCTGAGAGCATCCTTCATCTTCCCACCTCACCACTTTGGCCCCTGGGCCCACAAGGGCCCTCGGTCCCTCACACCTGAACATGGTCCATGCTGGACAGACCCTGGCTCACCTCAAGCCCTATAAGGGAGCCTATGGGCCAACGAAGTCCTCTTCCAAATACCCCACCCCACCACCTACCATCAGAGGACTGGACAGCCCCGGGGGTAGGGGAGATGACCTCAAGTGAGAGGGTGTCAGGCCTATCAGGGACCCAGGCAGCAGGTGGGAACAGTGGAGGGCAAGGGTCCAGGCAAAGGACAAGTTCACATGAGGGCAAGAGACAGCACAGAGGCCTCAACAGCAAACAGGGAAACAGTTCTGGCTGCCCAGAGAAAAGTGCTGAGCACTGCTCCGGCCATAGTGGGTAAATGCCAAGTGACCCTTGGCTTCACTGCCAAACTAAGGCCACCCCACAGGCCTCTCCCAACCCCATGCTATGCCCTCAGTCATGTCAGACAAGCAAGAGAGGGAACAGAACACTCTTTATAAATAGAGCTTATTTAATATTTAAAGGATAAAAGCTTGGCAGCAGGAAGAGACTTCATTTTTTAATTATTTATATCTGAGCAATTTTGCAAAAAGGAGGTCTAAGACAAAGTTGGTCAAGAGGTAGAGTGTAGAACAGCCAAGCTCCTTCCCTTCTCCAGCCCCTTTCCTCCTGGGCTGGCCTCCCCATGTCCCCACAGTCCTTAAGGAGTGAGAAGCACCCACTCCTGCCCCACTAAGTCCTGGTCTGGCCACAAGCAGACTCAGTCACACCTGCAGCCTGCATGCTGATGGGGCAGAAGCTGTACCCACAAGGAGGCTCCTAGAGACCTGGGGGTAGACTAAAGAGCCAAAGTGACCACCCTAAGGAGGAAAACAAGCTCCTAATAGGAGAGAGAGGGCTTTAGCTCCAGGAAAGGGAGAAGGAGATGTTGAATGCTCCGAGGCAGAGTGGAAAGGCAGCAGGTGGATGAGAAGGGAAGAGTCCACCCTTCTCTCCCTTTGTAACAATCCAAACATGTTACACTGACTGTGCAGGGCAAAGTCAGAAACAGAAGAGAAGCTTGTATCTTTGGCTTTCAGCATGGGAATTACAGGATCAGCCTGGGAACAGTATGATATGCCCTGCACACAGCCCTGGGTCCTGAGAGGTCTCCTGAGGCTGGCTGCAGAGAGTCCCACAGAGCAAGTTGCAAGGGAGAAGGAGGTAATGGAGAGCCTTGACCCTAGACCCACTAGGAGAGAAAGCCCCAGCCCCATTGGCCCCCAGACACTGCCACCTTCAGGAGGGGATGGTGGGCACTTGGCAAACACTGTTCTGCAAGACACAGGTACCAATGGCCCCCAGGAAACCTCTCTAGGTCAGGGACATGGGCTATGTCTCTAGGGCAAGGACAGGGAAAAGCAAAGGGACTCTGCTACCCAGAAGGGATTCCCCACCCCAAGGAAGCTAATTCACTCACATCAGCCACGGGGATGAGGGCATCAGCCAGCTTTCCAATTCGATTATTGCTGTGTAGCCAAGAGAGCAGCAGAAGGCCGAGGGCCACGTCCAGGAGCACAGAGACCAGAATGTTGGCCTTCCTGCAAGAATGGTTGGCAAGAGCAAGTGTGAGGCAGCCAGGGCAGCCCTAGGGAGGCCTGGCTGGAGGATCAGCACAGTGGGCCTGGTGCAGAGCAGGGGGGGAAGGGGCAGGGTCACAGCCATCCCACCTTGCAAAGGAGACCCAGGGCAGGCCCGCACCTCATCAGCTGGGTGGGGTTCTGGGCCTTCTGGGTACTGAAGACAAGCGTGAGGTGCTCCAGCCGGTGTCGGAGCTGCTCAAAGGTGGAGAGCTTGCTCCCAATGAAGGGCAGGGGCCACAGCTTCCACAGCCTGTGAGGAGCACAAAGATTCAGACCTGTGCCTTCTGCCTTCATTTGCTGCCTGCCAGTGCCCCGCACTGGACAGAGAGGAAGGGCCCAGCTGAGCCTGAGGCCCTGTGGCCCATTCCAGAACTCAGTAGGGTGGAAGCAGGTGGGACAGACTGATGCAGCACAGTAAGGAGGTGCAGGTGGGAGAAGGCAGCACTCTGAGTGCCCCCTCTCTGTACACTTGCCATTACTAGAGAACCTGACCTCCTCACAGAACCTGAAGCACATGTCAGCCCATCAGCCCAGCCAGGCAAAGCTGTGTCAAGATGATCTAAAAGTAGGAAGCTGGTCACCTCCTGCCCACCCAGGACTTACCCTGCCTGCCAGATGGTTGCCCAGAGGCTCAGCAAGGGTCTCTTGGGCTGACCTAGCTCCCCAGTGAGAATGGATTTCTCACAGGCAAAAAAGGCACTGAGACACTTCCAGACGTTCATGCTAAGGGACGATGTCTGCAGGCAAAAGTGGAAGAAAGCTGCTGCCAGCAACTCAGCTGTACTCATGTAGAGAGCCAAGACAGTAGCTCCCACAGGCAAGGAGACCAGCATGTTGGCCTTCCTGGAAGGCAGTGTCAGTTGGGAGCCCATATTTCCCATTCAGAGACTCTGCTGGGCACAGGAGAGACCTAAGAGCTCCTAAGAAGTGCAGAGCTGTGACTAACCTCATGTCTAGAACCTCGACAGGAAGGAGCAGGTCTCAGTCTTAGAAGGTTTATGGAAGTGTGTGTGTGTGTGTGTGTGTGTGTGTGTGTGTGTGTGTGGTTGGTACTGGGATTTGAACTTAGGGCCTACACCTTGAGCCACTACACCAGCCATATTTTGTGATGAATTTTTTTCAAGATAGGGTCTTGAGCACTATTTGCTCATGCTGGCTTCAAACCACGATCCTCCTGCTCTTTGCCTCCTAAGTAGCTAGGATTGTAGGCATGAGCCACCAGTGCCCAGCTTATGGGCCTGTCTTTTTACAGAGTATCTCTGAACCAATTCCAAGAATGTACTGCATTCAACAGAGCCTCCCCATTCTAATCACCAACCAAGCAGGTGACCTCTCACTGGCCACATGGAGACCCCCACCTGTGCAGTGATCTCTCCAAGACTGCAGATTGGCTCTGCATGGTTCAAGCCCCCAACAATACCCCTGGAGCTGTCTGGAAAAGGACACAAAAGCACAAGGGATGGAGGGGCTCCACTCCTGTAGTAACAATCATGCCTTGCCTGAATGTCAGAGCTCATAAGTGACCTATCAACAACCAACAGTTGCCTGACAGGCTGATCAATATTTGCTGCATTTGGGCAGTTCTAATCTTTCTTGGGTTCTTTGAGGTGACAGTAGACAGCAGAATGACTTAAGCAGTAGAGTGCCTGCCTAATAAGCATGAAGTCCTGAGTTCACACCCCAATACTGCCAAAAAAAAAAAAAAAAAAAAAAAAGATAGTAATACCTTCTCCATCACATCTGACCTTGATGACACATACCTTCACCTAATTAATCCCAAGACTACCATGAAGCCACATCAAGATCCCACCAACAATTGACTGGCTCAAGTACTACAGCACCCGTTTTGTAAGCATGAAGCTCTGAGCTCAACTCCCAGTCTCAAAAAAAAAAAAAAAAAAAAAAAAAAAATATATATATATATATATAAGCTGGGTGCTGGTGGCTCACACCTGTAATCCTAGCTCCTTCAGAAGTTGATTTGCCCAGTTTGAAATCAGCCTGGGCAAATACTTTGCAAGAGCCCATTTCCAAAATAACCAGAGCAAAGTGGACTGGAGGTATGGCTCAAGTGGTACAGCACCAGCTTTGCAAGTGTGAAGCCTAGAGTTCAAACCCCAATCTCACAAAAAGAAAAAGATCCCAGAAGCTCCTACCATCCAGGTGTGTTCTCAAAGAACTGACAGGAACTCTCTTCCTAGAGCCCCTGGTAAAAGGGCAAGGCAGTCCCCTCATCCAACAATGCAAATCCTTTGACGCTAAGGGGAGTGGGCAACTGAGGGTGAACCACAGATGCTCCCCATGCACAAAAACTCCAGGGAAAGTTCTCAGGGAAGCTGGGTGCCAGAGGCTCACACCTATAACCCTAGCTACTCGGGAGGCAGAGATCAGGAGGATTGTGGTTCAAAGCCAGCCAGGGCCCTATCTTGAGAAAAACCCATCACCAAAAAGGGCTGGTGGAATGGCTCAAGGTATAGGCCCTGAGTTCAAACCCCAATACCACAGAAAAAAAAACAAAAACAAAAACCAGGACTCATCACTTGAGCCACCTGCCTAACAAGCATGAGGCCCTGAGTTCAAGCCCCAGTACTGCCAAAAAAGAAAGTTCTTCTCAGGGAGAAAGGGTTCCCCAGGTTCTAGCACCCCCAAGGCCCGCCCTAAGGGCCTTTCACAAGGGTCAGAACCCAGGTACCTTGCAGTGACTCTGTGGTGCTGCCATCACAGGCAGATGGCTGGAAGAGAAGTGAGGGACCACTTCTCTCCTGCAAGTGAGCAGTACAGTGCCCAAGACCTAAGGTGACAGAGGTCAAGGCAGCAGGGAGGGGAGGCACCCTGTGTTCCCAAAAAGCAGACAACTCCTGAGCAGGGTAGTATCCCTAGCAGGCAACAACTCAGGTCTGTGTTTACTGTCTGATTTCTCTTTTAGGGACGTGAGCCATCTGTGGTTCATCCTGTACAGTGGACCCCACACAATCACTAAGGCTGCTGCAAAACTGGATCAGCGCCAGGAGTAAGTGACACAGGAACCGAAACCACCACTGGACACCTCTAAAATGCCCTACATACAGAGGGGTGAGCCTACAACTCTTGGGAGACTGTTTGCCACACATTTCCCAGCCCCAGGGCACCTACCTGCAGATGCGGGCAGCCGAGACCAGGGACAGCAGAGAAGCCAGGAGCAGGCAGACAGGCCCCGAGGCTCGCTTTGCCAGCTCCACAAGGATGCTGGTCTCCACTCCCTCTGACTGCCAGTGGCTCAGCCGCACGGGGCCCTCATCAAACTGGTCACTGCAGAAAAGCACCTCGCTACGCGCCACTGTGCCAAAGACAGCAGCCAGGCCCCCAGCACTGGCCGTGGCATCTCCAGCCTGGCGGTCAGGCAGGACTGCAGGTGGGTGCAGCCAAGACAGCAGCACCTTGCGCTGGTCATAGAAGATGAGCATGACCTGGTCCTCACTGGGGGAACCAGAGATGGCAGGCACCTGCCGGCGGGTGGCCTTGCAGCTCCAGAACTTGCTGCCCTTCTCTCGGCATAGTTGCAACCAGGGCTCATGGGAGAAGATGGCACCCAGGCCCTCCAGGAAGTGGCCCAAATCCTCCTCAGGCTCCTGCTGGCGGTGACACCAGGTGCCAAGCACAGTCACACCAACCCGGCTAACCTGCTGTACCTGGGCCAGGAGCTGCTTGACCTGGATGGGAATGAAGGGAAAGTGTACCACAGCCAGGACCACAGCAATGCTTTGCTCCGGGACCCACCGTCCTACCAGCAGGCCACTGTCTGCCGAAGCACAGCATGTGGGGAAGAAGGCCTTGAGCACCATGCCGGGAACCCTGAAAGAAAGGGGAGAGGGTTGGTGTGGAGCTGGTACTGCTCGGTAGCTGACAGAACGTTGGCCTCAGGGCATGGCACGTCCTGACAGACATGTCACCTGACTGCAGAAAGGGCAGCTTAGCTGTGTGTTTGCCAGTAAAGGCTATCAGCCATATCACAGTGACAGCTCCTCAAAGGCCAGCCTGAGCACTGCCTCATAAAGCAGAAGCTGTGCATGCCATGGCAAGTCAGTGCTTCCTCCTATACTGAAACACGCAGACTGAACCAAGGCAACATGACAGGCCCTAGCACATACCACCTGACAAGGGTGTGTTGGGATGAACACAAGGTTGTTTTTTGGTTTTGTTTTTTATGGTACTGGGGTTTGAAGTCAGGGTCTCACACCTACTAGGCAGACACTCTACCACTTGAGCCATTCTGCCAGCCCTGTTTTGAGGTTTTTTTTTTTTTTTTTTTGGTGTGCCTGGTGTTTGAACTCAGAGCCTCACACTTGCTAGGCAGGCACTCTATTACTTGAGCCACTCCACCAGCCCTTTTTTGTAATGGGTTTTTTTCGAGATAGGATCTCATGAACTATTTGCCCGGGCTGGCTTTGAACTGAGATCCTCCTGATCTCTGCCTCCTGAGTAGCTAGGATTATAGGTGTAAGCCACCGGTGCCAGGCTGAACACAGGTTTTTAAGGATCCTGAATAGAGATGTTTCTTTATGAATAGCACAGGGAAAAGCAATCTTGACAAAGTAACACCAATTACAGCTTTAACAAATCAAGATTTACATATTAAGCTAGCAAGAATAAAGATGAAAATTTAAAACCACCTGCTTTTAAGCTGAGGGAAACCAGATGCAGGTACACTGCTGCCATCAGTACAGGTGTATAGGGCCTGGAACACAAACACCTCCCTACACACAGAGACTTGAAGGAGTCTCCTCCTCTGTGGCAGGGAGGGTGTCTACCTGCTACCATGCTCAGGAAAAATAGGCTCAGAGCTCAAAGCTTCTACCTCCACACTCTGACCCTCCACCCTACCTGCAGTGGGCCCTGAACAGCACCCATCTTTCCCTGGGATCCCAGGCAGCAGACAGCATTTCCTCTCCTTTAAGATGTGCTTCTCACATGATAAAAGCGAGAGCACACAAGGGAGGGGTGAGAATAGGTAAGACACCTAAAAAACTAGCTAGCATTTGTTGCCCTTAACGCAAAGAAACTAAAGCAGATACCTTAAAGCAACTGAGGCCAATAGGAAAAGGGGAACAGGTACTAGAGAAAAGGTTAGATCAAAAAGAATTAACCTATACTCCAGAGGCACCTGCACATCCATGTTTATTGCGGCACTATTCACAATAGCCAAGTTATGGAAACAGCCAAGATGCCCCAGCACTGACGAATGGATTAAGAAAATGTGGTATCTATACACAATGGAATTTTATGCAGCCATGAAGAAGAACGAAATGTTATCATTCGCTGGTAAATGGATGGAATTGGAGAACATCATTCTGAGTGAGGTTAGCCTGGCCCAAAAGACCAAAAATCGTATGTTCTCCCTCATATGTGGACATTAGATCAAGGGCAAACACAACAAGGGGACTGGACTTTGAGCACATGATAAAAGCGAGAGCACACAAGGGAGGGGTGAGGATAGGTAAGACACCTAAAAAACTAGCTAGCATTTGTTGCCCTTAACGCAGAGAAACTAAAGCAGATACCTTAAAGCAACTGAGGCCAATAGGAAAAGGGGACCAGGAACTAGAGAAAAGGTTAGATCAAAAAGAATTAACCTAGAAGGTAACACCCACGCACAGGAAATCAATGTGAGTCAATGCCCTGTATAGCTATCCTTATCTCAACCAGCAAAACCCCTTGTTCCTTCCTATTATTGCTTATACTCTCTCTACAACAAAATTAGAGATAAGGGCAAAATAGTTTCTGCTGGGTATTGAGGGGTGGGGGGAGAGGGAGGGGGCTGGAGTGGGTGGTAAGGGAGGGGGTGGGGGCAGGGGGAGAAATGAACCAAGCCTTGTATGCACATATGAATAATAAAAGAAAAAAAAATACTAAGGGAAAAAAAATAAAATAAAATAAAATACGTGAAAAAAAAAAAAAAAAAGAATTAACCTAGAAGGTTACACCCATGCACAGGAAATCAATGTGAGTCAATGCCCTGTATAGCTATCCTTATCTCAACCAGCAAAAACCCTTGTTCCTTCCTATTATTGCTTATACTCTCTCTACAACAAAATTAGAAATAAGGGCAAAATAGTTTCTGCTGGGTATTGAGGGGGGGAGAGGGAGGGGGCGGAGTGGGTGGTAAGGGAGGGGGTGGGGGCAGGGGGGAGAAATGAACCAAGCCTTGTACGTACATATGAATAATAAAAGAAAAATGAAAAAAAAAAAAAAAAAAAGATGTGCTTCTCTAACCATGTAGCCATCTAGACATAGTGGGAGCTCATGGGCCTTGGAAGTATAAAAAAAAGTCATGTTCTCTCACAGTAAGGGAACCTTAATGTGGCGTCTGAGCAGGAAGAATAATTTAAACAAGCTAGGCACTGGTGGCTCATGTCTGTAATCCTAGCTACTTGGGAGGCTGAGATCAAGAGGATGGAGCTTTGAGGTCAACCTGGGCAAATAGTTTGCAAGAACCCATCTCCAAAATAACCAGAGCAAAAATGGACTGGAGGTATAGTTCAAGTGGTAGGGTCCCGAGTTCAAAACCCCAGTCCCACCAAAAAAAAACCAACAACAACAACAACAACAAAAAAAAAAAACATTGCTCTAGCTATGCACCTTTTCTTTCCCAGAAATGAGGACTGTAGGTTTCTTCACAGGCCTCTCTGTGAAGCTTGGCAGACTTTCTCATTCCTCCACCTGAGTCCCTGACAGCTCTGACAAAGCAGGACCACTTCACCCAGAATGACAGTGTGGGGCTTCTGGACTGGTTCAGCGGTGTCTGGGCACCCACATTTGCCTTATTCAGACACTGAGCACCCCATGTTGCTACATAAAACAGCAGCCACCCGGAGTAAAGTCAGAATCCACACCTGAGAGAAGCACATAGACCTTGGACTGAGCTTAGGTCTTCAGGTCCAGTGCTCACCAAGCCCTTGGAGATGAAGGGACAGAGAGGGTCACATATGCTGGAGGGGAGCCTCACACAGACACAGATGGCCAGAGCTTAAGAGACCATGCTGTAGCTGCTCTCCTCCCTGCAGGAAGACCAGGCCAGGCTGGAGGGTCCAGGCCTTTCAGGCCAGCTTGGGAAAGAAGCCTTTCAAAGTCATGGGTTCTAACTGAAAAGGCTACCTCTGGGTTGAGCCACAGAACTCCCAAACACCCCTCCCCCACAATGAACAGAAAAGGCAGAAAACTAGTGGATGTCCACAAAGGAAACCTGATGCCCAACACAAGTGCTGCCCAAATTCCTATAGTCAGCTTCAAGGTCCAATTTTTCTTACTGCCCCTTCTGTAGGGCCTGCCTCCAGAAGCCCACTGGGCACCAGAGCAATTCTTCATAGAAGGGACCCCGTGTGTTTGGTTGACTGCCACAGGAGACCACCCAGCACATTCCAAATCTTTCAGTCTCAGCCCGTCAGGACACCAGCTTAGTGAAATTACACCATCATGCCCTCCCAAGGAACTCCTTTCATAGGAACTAAGAAAAACAGCTCATGGCTTTTGCTAGAAGAACTTCCTTGATCTAACAGTAAACAGATGATTTGAGGGGACTGGTTATTTGGTGTGTTCACATTGGGTAAATTCAATGTGTTGTACACAGGATGCAGTTTACCTCAAAAGCCAAACAAAACAAGAAGCTCCTCTTGTCTAAGGAAGAAGAGTGGAGGACAGAGGTCAATGTTCTGATCTTGGGGTAGTGAGAAAACGCAACAAGTTATGGGGCAAATTCCCATCTCCACTCCTGCCTCAGCCTCAGGAGGGACTGAAGTGCGAAGGAGTGTGCTCACTCGTCAGGCTGCGGGGGATCCAGCAGCCTGAAACAGATGAAAGAGCAGGCGATCGATAGCAGAGAAGGTGCGAGACTGGAGAGAGCTGGCAGAAACTTGGGCGATATGTGAACACCTTTAAAGATGCTGATTAAAAGACCAGCCAAGCCCGGAAAACCTCCTGTGCTAGGAACCAATCAGTTCCCTCTAAAACAGCCCATTCCCAGGCAGGTCAGGTAAAAAGAGGCCTCAGAGAGCCTCCCCACCCAACTCCGAGTCACAAGTCCATCTTGGGAAACAGAAGTACTGCCCCGTCCTCCCTACATGAACAGATTTGGGGGACACCGCACCGTTGAAATCCTCCTCTGTGAATCCTCATGAGGATTCATTTTTACCCCCACGTTGTTTAGAAAAATCAAAAAATACCTTCTTGCCTTGTGAAAACATGCTTTCCCCCCTCATTTCAGAAGAATGGAGGTGAACCGGGTTCCGCCCATTCTCGAGGTCAGAGACAAATCCTCCAGCTAGTCGGGCGCCTTCACGCTCAAGGCTGGAGGACCGACCCGTCCAGGGCGCCACCTGGGCCTGGCGACGGGCTCTGGGGAGACCACGGGCGCTGGTCCCTCCTCCCCGGTCGCGGGGCGTCCCCATTCGCCGCCGAGAAGACAGGCGCCGAGCGCCGATGGCCGGCGCGGCCCGGGGAGCCCGTCGCTCCCCGCCCGGCCCACCGTGACCGAAGGGCCTCCCCCCTCCTCCCCCCAGTGCTCACCGGCTACTCCCCCGGCCCGCGCCCCCGAGCGGAGGGGAGGGGATGGGGTTGGGGACCACGTCGGGCGGGCCCGGGCGAACAACAGCGCTCGGGGCCCCCAGGCCCGCCGCGGCCGCGCCGCGGGACACCAGCCCCATTTCCGCCCGCTCCGCGCGTTGCCACGCGACGGTCCGGCCCCCAAAGGCGCCCGGGCTGCCCGCCGGCCGCGCCCCAGCGTTCCGAGGCTCAGAGGCCCCGCCCTGCCCCCACGTCGCAACCATCCTGAGCTGCTTCCTCACCTGAGCGACCCCTTGGACTCTCTTTACCCTGTCAGGGTAAAAGGACCCTCAAACTCTGCATGGAGTCGCTAAGAAGCTGCCCCCCGCCCCTTGCCCCAGGCAGGTGCCCTCCCACACTGCTCTCTGCAGAAGGGCTAACCCAGACCCTGTAGCCCAGCTGATAAGATCAGCCCAAAGCTGCCCAGGAGGGCGCGCACAGGCGCCCAGGCCCCCTGCTGCCGCGGGAGCAATACCCCAACAATGCAGCAACTAACACTTGCTGAGCACTTATTGCCTGTGCTTTCCTTCATCTACCCACTTAACCTCCACCCATAGTGACCAGGACATATTGCAAGAACCTTGACAGTTTAACGTCCTAAACTAAAGACCCCAGTGTCCTGGTTGGTAAGGCTGAGCGCCACCTCACAGCCTGCAGGGGCAGGACCAGGCACTGGTCTCCTACTCTTTCCCCCATAAAGACCCCTCACTGGGCCCCAGACTTACTGAGTACACCGCCCCCCCCCTTTCAGTCCCCATTTCCCATTTATAACAGGCAGAAAGGCCATGGTTTTCCTCTTTTTAAACAGCAGGTCTGACCTCAGAGGAAGGCTGCCTAGGATCTGTGGCACCCAAAACCCTCCCAGCACCCCACCTCCACCCCATGAGCTCAGAGCTGTTTAAAGATTTACAGAGAAGAAATTGAAGGCTCAGACAGCTTTAGAACTGTTGAGCATGGGGACATGAAAGAGGGCATTAAGACTCTAAACCTGGCCATGAGCCCCGAGGGGTACACCTCCATTCTGCCTACCTACCCTTACCTCTACTGGGCCCAGAAAAGCTGTCAGAGGCTCAGGACTGTGGGTGTCAGGCCTGTAGGTGCGTCTGAGGCTGGGAGGCGCTAAGAACAACACCTCTGCCCTAAGCCACCCAGTTTAGCCCAGCCCAAGCAGGCCACACCCTCCCTGTCTGCCTGCCTCTGATTAAGTGGCAGGGGCTGGGACAGCCAGTAGGCTGCCACACCAAAGATCTCTAGGCTTCATCTGTTTATCCCAAAGCCCAGGCTTCCTGGTACCTAAGCCAGCAGAGCCAGAGCCTGAGTACACCTGGGGGGCAAGTGCAGGGGCCCCCTGAACAGGGACATGGAGAGGGCCCAGTTTTGCAGGCTCAGGGAAGGCTCAGAAGGCAGCTAATCCATGGCTGCCAAGGAGATGGGAGCACTCGCCAAGAGGAAGACACAAGGCCATACAGGGCCAGGCATTGTAGAGACTAAGGAAACAGGGCCAGAAACCGTTGAGGAGCCCAACCTTTCACAGTGGTTCAAAGGCACAGGGATTGGCCAAGCATGGCAAGGGACTGCTCTCTTTTGGAGGCTGGTACACCTTGATGCAGTCATCCCCAGCGTCTGCCACCACAAGCCGGCCCTGGGGTGTACAGGCTACACCCAAGAGATGCTCCAGCCCCTTGAACAGTAGGCAGATGGGCGGCCTAATCTGGGGAAACAGGGTCACCTGGGGCCTATGTTCATTGGCCACAATAACACTGCCATCTGAGTCAGAGCACACACCTGCTGGGCAGCGAAAAGTGCATCCTGTCAGGGTCCCAAGGGAGCCCAGGGGCTGGCGGGCACTGCCAAACTCTTCACTTACAGCAAGGCCCCCATCAGGCCCTCGGCCAACCCAGCAAGGGCCCTCCAGACCCAGCATTGAGGCTGGGGCCAAGGGTTCCAAGGTAGAGTCCCATGTGAAGCTGTGTACAGCCCCGAGCACACAGTCTGTCACCAGGAAGCACCCAAGGGCATCCACAGCCAGCCCTCAGGGGGACAAAAATGTGTCCACCGTCACCCAGCAGCCCTGGGGGTCCCGGGTAGTGTACTAGAGAGCATGGACAGCCCCATGGACAAGGTCGCTGACCACTACAAGCCCAGAAGCTGTCACAGCCAGATCCTCCGGAACAAAAGCACCGGTTCCAGGCATGTGCCAGGGCAGGTGGCAAATGGAACGTCCCTACAGGTCCAGCACATGGACACAGGGCACAGCCCCAGCCATCAGGAAAAGCAGGCCATCAGGGGAACAGTGCAGACCTTGGGGTTCCCCTGCAGCCCCTGCAGGCACCAGGATGCCCCCAAGCAGCTGGGCTGCCAGGAATGAATGGAGTCTCTAGGCAGGTCCATGGTGAGATTCAAGCCCTGGGGACAGTCACCAGTAGGAGAGGTCTAGGAGGTCAAGGAGTGAGGGATGGGAGGCCAGGGCAGGTGGGCAGGCAGTGTCACAGTCTGAGCTTCTCTGCAGCTGCAGGACAACATGGACACAGTGTGTATAGGTGGGCTGAGTGGTCCTGGCCCCATTCTTGGTGGGCTATGAATCGTCCTTCATCCCACAACATGAAGGGCCTGAGGCACAGAGGTTAGGGGTTGAGCTCAGTTCTTCCAGGTCCTGAATGTCCACCTGGTCCCCAAGCCCAGCAGCCCCTTAGATGTCAAGATGCCTAGCACAGGAGTCTGAGCCACCCAACCTAGCCGTAATGGTCAAAGTTTGAAGGTTTTGCTCTAGACCCCAAATGAGTTCACAGGTATCCCAGTGTCCTGGGGAAGGGGTGAGGGGTGACAGATAAGCGGCATTTCTTAAACTCACCTGTTCACAGGACCTCTCCCTCTTGGGGGTGACAAGCTCATACCAGTCATCCCCACACAGCTCCTCTGGCAACCCAGGTGAAGGAGACCTCAGACCCTGATGGGTGAGGCAAGTCCTCTCCCAGGGTTCTCTGCTTGCCCCCATCCAGAGAGGCCTAGGATCCCCTACCTGGAACTGAGCTCCTGTTCTTGCTCCTGCTCAGGCCTCTGTTGTGGAGATAGACCTGAGTGGGGAGAAGCCACCAGGCAGGTTCCCTGCAGGGACAAGTCAGGCAAGGGCCGGGGGAGGGATAGTCTGGGCCTAGGCAGCTCTGGAATATAAATGGAGTCTCCCAGGACCCCATTACTGCTCCTTTCTGCTGGACCTTTGCACAGGCCTCGCCCTCTCCCTGAACCTTCTTCCTGCGGCCCCTGCTTGGCCAGATGCCTATCAGCCCAAACTTGACCTTTAAAGGAGGGCTTCTGGGCTCCTCACAACCAGAGGCAGCTCCAGGCGGCACCTTTGGGTCAAACCTTGGGAAAGATGACCTGCTGGCTGGGTCACCCTCCTGCCACCCACACCAGGAGGGCAGGTTGGTCCCCAGCATGAGAAGTCGGAGTGCAACAGACACTTGGAGACACTGAGGAGGACAGTTTGTTTCAGATTCAGGACTTAGGGCCCCTAAGGCAACTCCTCACTCTGCCCACATCCCCCAGCCCCCCCAGGAAGCCTCCAGGTGAAGGGTGCCCAGCTGGCCCCAGCTCTGGACACCACCCATAACGCCTCACGGTGGGGTGGCTGATGCTATCACCAGGCTGGGCAATTAATGGAGCAGCTGAAGGTCCTGTTCAGACTGGCCCCAGCCCGGCTGGCCCAGCCCCAGTGGGAACAGCGCCTCCTCTGAAATCAACTTGCGTGCAGGGGCATTCCTGGGTGGGCATGGAGGGTGTGGCCCAGCTCCCCAGAGAAAGAAGTGATTAGCTGTGGCTTGGGGCCCCAGTGACCCTCCATGCCTGCCCCTCACCCTGCTCCTGTGGAAGGCCAAGCCGGGCTGTACTGGGAAGAAGGCAGCGAGCTGTGAAGGCCACTGATGCCTATCGTGGCTTCAGGGGCTGGCGGAGACCCAGGAGAGGCCATGCAGGGTGAGCAGTCCTGAGCCACAGAACTCAAGAGGCATCAGCAACCACAGGCAATGCTGGCATTAGGGCTGCCTGGTTGGATTTGGGAGGGAGGATGCTCAGGGTCCCTGCCTACCCTCAGTGCCCTGAAACACAGACGGGGCTGTCCTGAGCAAACCCAGGCTACACATCTTCTTCCCTACCACATCTCCATAGGTCCTCTGCTGGAGTGCCCCTTGCCGACCTCCAGGGCCCAACCCCTCGGGAGGGATGAGTCCACTGCAAAGGCATTGGAGTCAAAGGTGCAAGCCCAGTAGAGAGGTCTGGGGCATTTCCTTGTGGGGCTTCCAGGTGCTCATACCAGGAAAGCAAAGAAAGGAGGCTTAAGCAGGGTGTTCGAAGGTGGCTTCTATTTTAATGTCCACAACAGTGACCAATAAATAACTGTGACTTCACTATTCCCACATGACCCCAGAAACAAGCCTCTGCCACGGGCTGGGGTGGGAGGGGTCCATCCACATGCACACTGAGGCTGGACAGTCCCCAGGCGGTGGAGCCCGGGTCAGGGAGCAGAGCCAGCATCCTAAGGGGGCTGTGGACAGACCTCAGCACCTGGGGGACTCTTCAGGCCGGGGGCATCCTTAGGGGTCTGAGAGCCCCCAGTCCCAAGACGGGTACTCCAGCCACTGCCAGGAATGACAGGGTCCTCGGGGACCTGGAGGGAGAGGCCAGGTGGTGGCACGCTGGAGTCAGCCTCGCACTTGGTGGTATGGCCCGAAAAGGGCTCAAGAACTGCAGAACTCAGCACACTGGGAGGCTCGGGGGTCCCCCTGGCCAGCATGGGGCCTGAATCAGGCCCCCAAGACCCTGGAGGTGCCTCGGTTCCCTTGGCTGGGACCCGCTTCACAGAGAGGTCAAGGGGTGTGTCTGACGGCTGTGCTGCCCGCTCCAGAGCCTGGTGGATGGTGAGCAGCTCCTGGCGAATCTTCCCCAGCTGCTCCCGCAGAGGTCGGGGGGCCAGGCCCCCAGCTGGTGCCAACTGCCCCAGGCACTGCTCCACCCTGGCGTAGTCACCGAGGACCTGGGTCAGGTCCTCGCCCACAGGCCTGGGGCTTCCCAGCATTGGGCCTTGTGGCTGCTGAGGAAGGGGACCTCAGAGCCTGGGGCCTCAGGGTCACCTGGCTCCTCGTCCTCAGGCCAGAGCATCAGGGATGAGCCAGTCAGCAGGCTGGGTGGGGTGGGTGGAGTAGGAGCCAGTCAGGAAGCTGCACTGCCCAATGCAGTACCCCCAGCCCCTGTGACTTCTGCCCAGTGTGTCACCCATGTCCCAGGAACAAAGGGAACAAGGCCCCAGCCTACAGCTGGAGTCCCTAAGGACAGACAAGATGCTGTTTGGTGTCAGTTCCCTCTATGGCCTGGAGCCCATACTCCCAACCAGTGATATCAGGACAGAGCCCAGCCTTTTTCCCAGACCTCCCATAACCCTTTTACCCCAGAACTTGTAACTCATGACACTCACCTGCTCTGGGAACCAAATTTTGCCAGGCTGGAAGAGGCCTTCCGTAGTTCTGGTCTGCTCCCCAGAGCCAGCCTCCTCTGGGGATGGCTCTGAGCAGCTTGTTCCTGCTCTCCCTCCTGTCCTGGATCTCTGGACATGCCATAGGACCAGGGCCCCTCCAGCCCCTGGACAGGTACCTTCAGCAGCCCAGGAGCCAGAGTTCCAGGGGGCCCCTTAGGGGGTGCAGAGGGCTTGGCAGGGGCAGCCCGACCTGGAAGCCCCAGGCTGTGCTCCAACAGTAGTGGGTAGAACAGGCGGGGGGCAAGGGCAGGGCGCTCAGGGGTCTGTGGACCTGAGAAGGCTGAAGCAGGGGGCAGCAGGTGGCTGGCTGAGGCTAAGAAGGGCACGTGGGCAGCAGCGGCCAGTGAGGGCCCTAGGTAAGAGAAGAGGCCAGGGCTGAGGGGGTAGTTGACGCCCAGCAATGATAGGTGGAGACTCTGGGCCTCAGGGAACTCACCCGGGGCAGGTGGTGGGTAGCAGGGAACACTGCTCTCAGGACCTGCTGAAGCCACACTTCCTATGACCCCCATGGCTGTGTTCCTCAGACCACCACCCAGCCCTGGCTTCCATGACTCTGCCAGGAGTCCACCAGGGCCTGGACCCTTCCGGACAGCCCTAGCCAGAGGGGGCAATGGACCTGGCGACCCCTCAGCTCCAGGCTTGGGACCCCCACTACAATGGCGCCGGGAGAGGCTGTCAGTGACCACGAGACTGGACATGGTGGATTGACTGCCTGGGTCCGAGAGACCTCCGGGGTGGTCTGGTGTGGGTGCCCGGGGCCTGGGTGAAGGGGGTGCACGTCGGCACGCCCAGTCAGGGGAGTCGAGCAGCAGTGAGAGGGAGTCTTTGCACAGGCTGTACTTCATGTGGTTGTAGAGATGTGACTTCTCCAGGCATGTGAAGGGGCACTGGAAACACTTGTAGTTGTAGGGTTTGCCCCAGGGCCGCGGGATGTAGTGTGGTTTCTTAGGCTTCCGTGACCGTGCCCTTGCCCCAGCGCCTACACGGCACGAGCCTGCCTCTCGAGACATGGTAACCTGCTAGTGGGCAGGCCCAGACACCATGGCCACCTGCAGACAGGGGGACCATGGTCAGTATTGGGTCCCTTCTGCTCCCCACCCCCCTGTATTGGTGTTCCCCAGCCCCTGGGGCAAGACCCCAGGGCACCCCTGCTAGCCTCACCTCCCTCCCATTGTCCTTCACACTGCAGTCCCTTCATTCCTCCCCAAGCCCCAGATTTGCAAATGAAAATGCAGGGCATCTAGTCCCATCTGTCCCAGACATCAACTAAGTTTCTAGTGTAAGTATATCCTAGGCAGAAATCACACCAAGGTGGAAATCACACCAAGAAATTGTTCATCCTGTATCTGAAATCAAGTTTCAGAGTTGTTTTTTAATGGGGTGACTCTACACGAGTCCCCACCCCTAGGGCCAGGCAAATGCAGCTGAGTGACACCAGAGCCCCTCCTGGTCTCACACCCCTCCAGAGACCCCTGTCCTCACTGAGCTGCCTGCCTCTGCCGGAGACCTAGGCAAAGCCACTGAGGTAACAAACTGGCACAGGTCTAAGTGTCTTGTTAACGATGCGTGTGTGTGTGTGTGTGTGTGTGTGTGTGTGTGTGTGGTACGTGTCGCCTGAAATTGCTAGTCTCTGGAGTGTCAAGTGGGCAAGGGGGGGTCTCTGAGGGGTTCAGCCTCACATGGGCCCAGGCCAGGCTGGGGGGAGTGGATGTCACAGCATGGCCCCGTGGCTCAGCCACCTGCTCAACCCAGCTCCATCTGGGTGGCTTCAGGCAGGTCAGCAACCAAGCAAGCCTGCAATGGCCATGCTCATCCAAGACCCCTCTCCTCCCCATGTCCCACACGCTGGCTCAGAAGCCACTCCATACTCCATCTGGGCTGCCACCTGGGCTGTCCACCACCCCAGCACTGGTGCCTGTGTAGGCTGCATGGCGTACGTGTGCACACAAGCTTTGGGTGTGTGCACACAAGCGTACAAGGCTCCTGAGTAGCCTTTGCCTGGAGAAACAATCTCTATATGGCTCGGCCAACTGGTAACTGGGTGTGCCACCAAGTGCAGAGGGGCCTGTACACCACACACACGCATCCTATCCCCTACTCAGAGTGGACACACCTACAGCACACATATGTGCACTCACACACCACACACCCACACCCAAGGACACACGCAGACATGGCTGGGACTCACACAGTCACCGACTCATCATAGATGAAGACACATGGGCACTTCACGGATTGGGCATGGCAGGGCACCCCTGTTATGGGGGCAGCCAAAGGGGTGGAGAGCGCTGCCTGCTCAAAGACTTGGTGCCCTACGGGGGGTCTGCATGGCCAGGTCAAGCTCAGAACAAGCCCAGACTGAGAAGGATTCCAAGGTTGGGAGGAGGGAGCTGGCCCAGGACAGGGCCTGGGGCTCCCTGAGGGGCTGCAGATCCAGCCTGAACTTGGTGGGTGCAGAGGCAGCCCCTTCTCCCTGCCCTCGTCCCCCCCCACCACCACAAGATGTGATGACAGATAGGCATGCGCGCTCAAGCGACAGAGGCGGCTGTGCCGGGGCCATCGATCACCCAGCCCTGGGAGCCACACAGCTGTGCCAACTGGTGCTGCCTGCACACCCCACCTCCCAGCCGGACTGGGGGCTCCTTCTGAGTCCCTGGACTAAAGGGTAGGGGTATCCTTCTGTGCTTCCTCTTCAAACCTGGCACTGAGGTGTGTGTTTGGTTGGGTGGGGGGGAGGTTCTTCTTTGAAAGCCATCTCAGTAGCTGCTGACCCCAGGAGGACCCAGAGGATGCCCGGCACCCACCCAGCACAGTGCACAGACAGCCAAAGACACCCCCATACCAGCTAGGCGCACACACAAAAGCACACGCATTCCCACGCATCCCAACCTGTGGCCAGGTACCTGCTCTGGACACCTTGGCTGCATTCTTGGCTATGGCAGAACCGGTGACCGAAGGGCACACTTGGTGCCCCGGCAGCTGCGTGGCCACTGGCAGATCACAGCCCATCCATCCCGTTGGCACCCTTGGGACTCGGGGAGCACTCCACACGGGCCAGACACGCCTGGAGCTGATGTGGGCCGGCTGGGACCCCAACACCCTTCCTTCGCCTCCCTGCTGCGGGCAGCGCCCACAAGGTCCCTCGCTGAGCCCGGACGTTGGCAGTGGGAGGAGGTGCCGGCCGCCCTTGGCTCCCCACGCCAAACCCACCCGGCGCCCCAACTTCGCGGAACGCGCCGCCCGCCTGCCCACCTTACCGTGTCTGCCGAGCCGAGCCTGCGGCGCCCGCCAAGTCTGCGCCAGGCCGCGCGGAGGGGCGAACTTCCCGTCCGCGCCCGCCCACGCCGCGAGGGGAAACTGAGGCTGGGCGCTGGAAGCGGCCCCCTTGCGACAGCGACTCTCCGCAGCCGCCTCCGCCGCAGCCCGCGTCCCCCGACGCCGGCTCGCGGGCGCCCACCGAAGTTGGTGGCGGAGCGCGCGCGTGCGCCACGGCGCGAGCTCCGGGGCGCAGCGACCTCCGACCGGGCTGGGGCGCGGGGAGGCGGGACGGCCCCAGTCCAGGCCGGCTCCCACCTCCTCCCACGCCGCCCCGCACACTCACCCGACGCGCCGGGACCGCTCCTGACGGGAGCGAGGCTGGAGACGCTGCGGCGCTGCCCAAGCCCGGAGTGGCGCGCAGGTGCGCGGCGAGTGAGGGGCGCCTGGCACCGTCCCCGCCCTCGTCGCCTGCAGGCTGCCGCGGGGGTGCGCAGAGACGGCCAGGTCTCCAGGGTCCCCGCAGCGGCGTGAGGGGGCGTCACCACGCTTCCGTCAGGGCTCTGGCCCCTGACAACCACCTGCCCACCCAAGCCAGGGCCTGGAGGCTCAGCCCCAGGACAGGGGCCTCCAGAGCCAGCCGGGAGGGGCTGAGCCCAGAGCTCAGGAGGTGGATCCGCAGTGTCCCTGCCAGCTCTCCCTGGGCAGGCGCCTGTATGGTTGCTTTGCTCCAAACAGGAGACGAAGTGGATCTGTGGTTCCTGCAACCCTGCCTTGGCCCACTGATCACCATGCACAGACACCCACCCCCCAGTCCTCACTCCCCCTCCCTGGGAGGTGCCTAGGACTTGCGGGGCCAGTACATGCTTTTTGAAGGGCCTCTGCCCACTGGCTGTCCCTCCTGGGAGACCTCCGGGGTGGTGAGGGGACAGGGAAGGGCTTGGAACCCCCAGCAGAACATGAACCTGGGAACCTCCCTCCTCTCAGTATCCTCATGACCAGAACTGCTCTTGAGCCGCCCAAACTGAACTCTCTGGGTTCCGCCTCTCGGTCAGGTCTTTCCTGGTGGAAATTCACCTGACCAGTTAGTTCCATCTGAGAGGTGGGCACAGACATGTCTGGGACAGAGTCAGAGGTTTGTCCAGAGTCTGCCTGTGGTTAGGGAAGATACCTTAACCCAGAGATATAGTACTTCAGGCATGGGCTCTGCAGCCAGTCAGACTCTGTGGAGGCACAGAGATCCTGGGGACCCAGGGCCTCCTGCAGGCTCAGCTCCAGGCTCCCGGGGTCTCCCCCAGCTCATGTAGGAGCAGGGAGGCCTAAAGAAAGGAGGACCCTCGAATCGCTCTGGGTGTCGCCCCTCTGATGCCTCAGCCAGGGGGCGCACTGCAGAGCCCAGTACCTTTTTGGCCCTGTGCGCCCTGGCTTGGTTTCCCTGTCTTTGTGTGTGTGTATGAGCTCAGGGGCCCCTGGCGTGCTGAGCGGGACCCCACGGTTCTAGCTCCCTCCTGCCCCTATGCTGCCTTCGTGACACAGCAACCCACTTCCATCCGAGAGACTTCCATGGGTGGGGCCACGGGTGGGAGGGATGCTGTGGTCACACAACATATGCAGCCTCCTCTCTGCTTGCCTGGCCTGGCCCAGCTGACCAGTTGACCATGCAGGCAGCCCCGGGGCAAGGAGACATCTTGGGGAGCCATCACACTGGAAGCCTGGTGGAGAGTTGGGGTTCTGACCTGAGAGGCCAGGGGGCCCAGGTCACCCTGAGCTAGTAGGAGTGTGGACCCTAGGCCTTGGCCCCTGAATCTCAGGGACAACTATATGCCCTCCAGTTCTTTCCTAAGGACCTGGAGAGCCCATGTCTGATAGCACAGGGGATGGGCAGGGTGGAGGCTGTGGCTATCGTTCAGAGAAGCCCTGGTGGCGGGGGAGCCCTGGTCTCAGCGTGCAGCTCACCAATGCAGCTCAGGTGAGTAAGGAGGCTGTACTTAGGAGAAAGCACCTAGAGATATGTGATGTGGCGTTTTAGTCATGGGGTCTGCAGCCAGAGGACAGCTCTGTGGACGCACAGAGAGGAGGAGGGAACTGGGGAGATCTGCTCACACAGCAATGGAGCCCAACCCTTGATGGGCCTTTGCAAAAGTTTGGGTGACAGGAAGAGAAGGGCAGCACCGAAGAGGGACCCAAGGAACACAAGTTGGACAAGTTTCTGGGCTTGCTTGTGGGGGTCTGAACAAGTTGTATAGATGATAGTCCCCTGCCCTCTGCCTAAGGGGCTCCCAGGAATATCCATTCCCTCACAGGGGTCCCTCCTTTTCCTTCCTCTGGACATGACTGATGCTGGGACCTAATCCCCTAACCCCCAGGGCAGCCTTGGGTTCCAGCCAGTGGCCCCTGCCTCCTGATCAGTGATGGGAGCTCCCCCACAGCTTTGGGGTTTGATCCTCTGACACCCTGCGAGACCCCAGCCCATACTCCCTAGGCTGTAACCCCTCTCCTCAGAAGATATGGAGAAAACCCCAGTCTCAAGCTGTCCCTGCTCTAGTGGGGTCCCAGATAGGGACCTGATGTCTTTTCCTGGTGCTGGCCCTGCCTCTGCCCCCAGCTAGAGTCTTGTTTCAGCCATTAACCTTCACTGCTGGATGTGCTCACAGACCCCCACCTGTCACCTCCATTAGTGTTGGGACTGCATGTGCTAGGGGCATGCAGGCTGGAATAAGAGCCAGAGCTCCACACTGTCTCATTCCCTCAGTGTTGTAGCCAGGACAGGTGTGGGCTGGGCTGGCCTGCACCCCCCAATGGGCAGAGGGACAGGTTGGGCTGGAACCCATGGCAGGATTGACACTACAGTGGCGGCAACTCTGGTGTCCTAGGGTGGTGAGCACCATGCAGGATGCTTGGCCACGGCTCATGCTTGCGCCTCACTGATGAATACAGGACATATAGCAGCCACCAGAGTGAATGTGAGGTCCCTGGCCAGAAAGCAGAGAGCATCCTTGGGGCTTCGCCCCTTTGTTCATTTGAGGTGGCCTCAGGGACCCCAGGCTGGGGGAGGACAGGCTTGGGCTAGGCTGAAGGGGACTGAGTAATGCCTGAGGTGCCTGATGGCACCATGGAGCCACAGCAGGTACACAGGAGGGATATGATGGGAGTGATGGGGCTGAGTGACTAAATGGACAGGGAGAGCCCAGATTCAGAAAGGCTGGACAAGAGTGTGGCCCATGACACTGGGGAATCCTCCTGGGGTCTGCATGAATGGTTCCTTTCTGGACATGCTGGGTTGCCGGTCAGCCGGGGGTGGGTGTGGGGCTGCCCCTCTAGATGCTGGGCAGTTGGGATGCACGAAGGGCTGAGAGGCAGGTGCAACAGTGGGGTGAGCATCCCGTCATGGGAACATTCGAGCTGGGCAAGGAGCCTCTCAATTCAGAAGGAGCAGCCAGCCAGGAGGGTGGGACAAGGGGCTCAAGCTGCCTGAGCCCCCACCCGGTTTCCAAGCCTGGCACTGGTTGAGCAGTGCCTGGGGCCGACAGCAGCCATATGTTGGGGAGAGAAACCGTGTGCGTTGCTCTGCGGCCCAGGGGGCCGGCCTTCCTGGGCCTGTCACAGATGATTTTTCCCGCCTGAGTGGCAGGCTGGCTGGCGGGTGGGGCAGAGGGGGGCTGTGAGCTGGCCCCATGTCCAGGCCTCCACTGCCCCCGACACTGGGACTTGCCAGTATTGGGACAGATCCATGTTCCGGGCCTTGGCTTTGAACCCAAGTATTTTACTGAATGACCCACACCCCCTCCGCAGCCCCCATTGTGGGCACCCCTATCCAGTTAAAAATTAGGGACCCTGAGAAGAGCCCTGGCTGGAGCAGGGACTGAGTCCTGCTGCTTCGATGTGGGGCAGTGACCAGGGGTCCACACCAGACGGCCATGTGCCCGGGGCAGGTGGAAGAGGGCCGGGAGCTGCAGCCCTGTCAGCCTGGCGCCCAGAGCTGTGCGTGGGGAGTCAGGGAGGCTGTGGCTAATTTGTACACTAAGTGCTTCTGACAGGGACGCCTCACGAGTGAGAACACGCCACCGCCTGCCCCGGAAAGGACACTTCGGTAGCAGCCCCAACAGTGAGGGCCCAGGAGAGGAGGTTATGGCGGCACAGGGCCAACTGGGCCAGTATTCAGGGAGAGCTGGGGATAAGGTGATGACCGTTGTGGGGTGAAACCAAAGAAGAGGCATGGGGAAGGGCTACTTCTAGAAGGCTGGGACAGGTCCTGGGGACTGGGCACAGACAAGAGGGCAGGGCCCCTTTCACCTCCTCATGTCCATTCCCTACTTCAGTGACTAGACCTGTCTGCTATTCACTTGGGCTTTGGGACCTCCTGCTTAGGTTGGGCTGGGTCCCGGGTGTGCTCCACTGCTCAAGCCAGCCTGGCCACCTCCCCACCCTGCCTACACACGGCCAGCTGCTTCCTCTAGGCTCCCCAGTCTGACCTATGTTGAGCCCTTTGAGGAGCCCCAGCTTCCTGCCCAATGCCAGTCTGAGGGGCTTGCCTGTGAGGGTCCCCAACTTCTCCGTGGATGTCCTCTTGCCCACCCCTTGTATATTAGAGTCCAAGGGGAGGGGAGGGTGTTGGCTGGGGCCAATCAGAGGTGGGGCATGCAGGTGCTGGCCTGCTTTAGACACTTGGGTGTACTGGGGTTTGAACTCAGGACCTCCTGCTTACTGGGTACGCATTCTACCCAGAATGCGTGGAGCCACTCCACCAGCCCATGCTCTGCACTTGTCTGGCTTTGACACCAGAAGGTCCTGGAGGTGGAGGCTGCAGAGGCCACAGAAGAGGGTGCCAGGTGGGACAGGGCCAGGGACTAAAGAAAGGAGCCTTGTGAGGAATGGGGGTCACAGGCTGCCTCCCAGGGGTGACTGGAGTCAGCTCCTGCCAGATGCACAGTGGGTACAGGCTTGGCCCCCACCCCAGAAGAAAAAGTCCATCCTGGTGCGCAGCCGCAGAGGGGCCAGGCAGGAGCTGTGGGCGCTGAGGTGAGATGTGTTGTGGCAGCTGCCCCGCTGCCCGAGGCCCGCCCGGAGCAAACACTGCTGGTGGCTTTAATTGCTTTCACATTCGATGGGCTGGCCTGTGACAGGCCTCTTCCACTGTGTGCTCCGGCCTGGCCACGTACCCTCAGCCCCCGCTCACTCAGGGGGGTCTTCAAGCTCCTGGAAGAGGCCCAGGCTGTTGGCCAGAGACTGGCTGAGTGGCTCAGAATCACCTGTGATATGAGATGGAGCTCAGTCTGGACCAGGGCCTGGAGGGGACACAGCAAGACAGACAGGGCAGGAGCAGCAGGTGCATTCCCGCACTGCCCCCCACCTTCAGCCCCATCTGCACCCCATCTGGTGACTGATGGGTTCAGACAGGACTCCCCAAACACATCAGGTAAAAGCTGCATGTATACACTGTCCCATCTGCTTTGATGGTCCTTCCTAGGTGCAGGGACTGGCCCCAGCCTCTGCCCTGCCTGGACACTTCTTTCTGGAGAGCACCTGCTTGGTGCTGTCTGCAGCTCATCTGGGGTTGATCTTGGGCAGGAGTGTGTGCCCAGTCACCTCAGTGGCCTGGGGTCCCTCAGCACAGCTCTACTAGGGAGACCCCACCTGCTGGCCTTGGGTGAGCCTGCCCTCCTCACAGGATCCCGGGAAGGTGATAAAAGACAGAAGCCTCCCTTACAAAACAAAACACTTTTATTTGGTCCTTGGAGCCTGAGTGGAAACCGCCCATGGAGTCATCGGAACAGGGAAGGGATTGACAGCTGATAAAATAGTCTCTGTGTCTGAAGAGCTGGCTGTATTTACAGGGTTAAAAATATTCACAGCTCAGAGTAAAAGGAGGCCCAGTGGGAAGAAGGGAATTTTCTCTAGGTGTAAAAATACCGCAAGCCCCACAGATGTGAGATCTGTGGGCAGGCTGGCCACCAGGGGTCTAGGGGATGCAGGACAGTGGCAGCCAGGTAGGGACCCAAGAAGCTGGACTCAGGTGTCCACATGGCAGACAAGGACTCTGGCCTCAACAAGCAGCTGGGGGATGTCAGGCAGGTGGGCACTCAACTCCCTTGTCTACCAGTTGGGGGCTGGAGAGCCCCTGCACCCTGCTTATGCCTGTGATGTGGCTGGCCCAGGCCTCTGCTGCACTTTGGCTCAGCTGACCAAGGTCAGGGGTGCTGAGGACAAGCACCTCTCCAGGCAGAAAGGCTGGGCCTGGCTCCCGGCCTGCCACCCCATCATGGCTTCAATCCTGGCAGGCATTCCAGGAGTTGCATAGTGTCGTGGGAGGGGCAGCTGGATGAGGCCCTTTGTCCCCAAGTGTGGGCCTGTGGCCGCCAGGTGCCTGCTTCCTGGAATGCACTGCTCGATCATGTGCTAGGGCTCCAGAAACCCTGCTCATCTCATTGGGGCAGGGAGCTGGGTTTGGGGCAAACTGAGGGGAAAGCCATTGATTTTGATCCCCACAAGGGGAGTCCTGGCATTCACTGTGGGGAGAGGTCTTGGCCTCTGATCTTCAGGTTTGGTTTTGTGAACAGAGATCCCCCAGGCTCATGGAAAAGGGCAGCCCCAACTTGGCCCTGGCAACCTGAAACTGTCCCCAAGGCTGGCAGGTCAGAGAGGCTGGCACACAGCCCACCTGGCTCGAGGTATTCTGCTTGGCAGCTGGGAGGCCTAGCCAGGGGACTGAGGGTACTCAGAGAGTTTGGGGGGAAGGGGAAGAGGGAGGGTCCAGGGGAAGCTGTCCCTTTGGCCAGCAGCTCCCTGGGTGGGGTCCTGAGATTCTGGTTCAAGCATCCTCCATCGGGGTCTCCCTCATAAAGTGCATTTTGGGGGGGGGGGACAGCTGGTGGTCTGAACACAGCCTCTGCTCCAGGGTGTGGCAGTCACAGCGGCCGGGGCCCGTGCAGACCAGCAACCTCAGGTGTGAGTGGGGGGCTGTGGGTGCCCTTAGAGGATGTCCAGTCGCTGAGGAGGGCCTGGGCTGCTTTGCGGTGCGCAAGGCGATGAGTGATGGAGAATCCGGCATTGCCCTCCAGCTGGGACAGGATCACCAGAACCTGCCTGGGGGAGAGGGCAGGTGAGGATCAAGGAGGGGGCATGGGGCTGGGGGTGGGAGTGGGTGCCCACCTGTGCAGAGGCGGTACACTGTCCTGGGTACGCAGACTGCCACGTGTGGACACCACGTTGAAACTGTCGGTACAGTCACACTGCACATGCAAGTAGGACTTGGGATGCCGGTTCTCTACCACCACGATGAGTCCTGCCCAGCCATGCGTCAGGTAGTAGCAGGTCATGCCCTCGCGGCCCTGGGCACAGGTGCAGTGTGAGGTGCGACTGGGACTATGCTGATGCCTACCCACTACCCTTCACTACGTGGGGAACCCCACCCACCTCATGACGCTCGCCCCGGCTCTCGGTGAGCAGAATGATGGCGTCGGCCAGTGTGGTTGGCTGTGCCTCCACTGGCTCCACCATGACTAGCCTGGAGCTGTATACTGCGAGCACATGGCCAGGTGGCTCGGGGGCACCCCGAGGGACCCCTGATGAGGGGCTGGAGGCTGTGGGAGGGTGTGAATGAGGGAGCTGGCAGCCCTCCCAGGGGTGGGTTGCGGGACTTTGACAGGGGAGAGGTGGGCGTGGGCCTCCGGTCTGGTTGGAGTGGTTACCCTGCACTGTAGTGGGGGGCCCTGGTGGGGCAGGGCTCCAGTGGTTGAAGGCACAGCACACCACGGCATACTCGCCGGGCTCCAGCATGACGTCACAGTTCACGAACTTTTTGACAGCCCGTTTACTGTGGGCCAGGAGGCGGCCCAGGCTCAGGCGGCCACCACTGCCAAAGGTGGCCCGGAACACCAGGATGCACAGGTCCAGTAGGTGACTGTCCACTGTATCTGAGCGTCTGTAGGCAAGATAGCAGGCTGGGGCCTTGTGTGGCTATGGCCGGGGGCTCCCAGCCTGATGGACCACCTTGCCCACTACGCACCTGCTACCCTCCTGGAAAAGGGCAAACTCCAGTGAGGCACGCTCCAGCACTGTGAGTGCTGTTACGCCCACCGGCCCACTAGCTGTGCTCGGGAAGCAGCCCTGAACCCGCACTTCCTGCCAATCTGGTTGCACCTTGCAGATGTCCACAGAGTCGAAGTACCTGGATGGTGAGGATAAGGCCACTGAGCAGAGCACAGTCCCATGCCCCAGCCTCTGGCACATGGCACATACCCTGTGGGCCTTTGCTGTACTCATCCACAGGCCTTCTGTCTCACTGTCTTCTGACAGTCCCGGTCATCCCCTACCCTGGGAGCCCTCAGCAGAGAGAGAAAGACTCTCCCAGGAGGGAAGTGCTTGTCTTGGTTGCTGCCCTTTTGTGGTTTAGATTCAAAGTATACCTCCAAAGGGCTCATGTGTTGAAGGCTTGATCCCCAGCTGGTGGCACTATTGAGAGGTGCCTATAGTGATCATGAGGATGCTATCTGTCCCAATGGGTTAACTCATTGATGAGTTCATACTGAATAGGCCTTGTTGGAGGAAGTAGGTCACTGGGAGTGGGCCTTTAAAAGGTATATCTTGACCCAGCTCCTTCATGACTGTCTCTCTGCTTCTTGGCTACTATGAGGTCCAGGCCCTTTCATCATGATGTTCTACTTTACCACAGACCCATAGTAATAGAGCCAGACAACCATGGACTGAAACCAGGAGCCAAAATAAACCTTCCCTCCTTGTAAACTATTTCTCTTTGTCAGCAAGAGAGAAGGGTGAGGGCATCCAGTACCTGATAAAGTCGCTGTACTCCATCCAGAAGACACCCTCGCTGCTGCCGTGTGGCATAAGCTCAGCCCGTAGGTGCCCTGGCCAGTGTGGCCACTCGTCTGACCAGCTGCCATTCCAGGAGAAACGGCCCCAGGGGTTCCGGAGCCTCAGGAGCCTGTGGACCACAGGACTGAGGGCCATGACTGTGCCCCCACAGCTCCCACCCGTGTCTATATGCTCGGCCACCTGCAGCCAGCTGGGCCCCTACCTGGAGCCCTGGACATCACGCACATCCAGGATGGAGTAGGCGTGGCGAGGGCGCAGGCCCAGGCTCTCATAGGCAGCATCATCCACCTTCATGTTGCCTCCGCCACAAGAGGCGCCCATGAGGAACCTGTGCAGGCAGAGTGACCCTCACTGGAGGGGCAGGCAGGGAAGAGGGGAGGGTCCCTTCCCTACTTGTGGAAGACAAGGTCCCAGGGACCCATGTGAGGGACCATATGCACTCAAGAAATGCACCTACGCTCAGAGAGCCTGGGGCTGGGGCAGAATGGTCACCTGGAGGCTTGGGGGCTGGCTCAGGGACCCAGCAGTGAGCCATGGTGTTGCTCAGGATTGCAAGGGCAGGGGTCTCAGCACTAAGGGCCTCAAGTGGTGAGGCCCACAAGCTGGCTAGGGTATGGCAGATCTCCACAGGACCCCTCTACAGGCTGATGCTGCCTGCCTGAGCTAGAGATGATGGGCTCTGGGCTCTTCTCACTAGCCAGGGGTGAACATGGCCTTCCCAGAGTGGGTACAACAGCCTTGGGGCTGAGTTTAGGCCAGGTTTTAGCTGTGGCCAGCCTGTGCTGGAACACCTGTGAGATGTAGGTGCAGTCAGAGAATGCCCCCCGTTTCTCCCACCACTTTCTCCTCCCAATGCTGCAGATCGTGGCAGCACCCCCCCTCTTACCCAGCCTCCTTAGAACTCAGCATTTTGGCCCAGATGAGGTCATTGTCAACGGGCTCCTCGCGGGGGTTAGTGGAGCTGACCTGCAGCGCCAGGCTCTCGCAGGGGGCGCCAGTGAGCGTGGCCAGGCCTTCGATAGCACGCCCTGCTTGGAGGGCAAAGTAGGAGCCGTGCAGCTTGGCCAGCGCCTTCTCGATGAGGGCCACCCACAGCTGCTTTCGCTGTGCCTGAGGAAGGGGCTGGAGTCACAGGCTGTCCCACACCCCCACCCTGCCCCACACCTGGCTGTCTCACCTGCGAGAAGAGGAGGAAGCCAGCCTCATCACAGGGCAGCATGTCGTCGACCAGCACCGTCGTCCAGGTGCCATCCTTGCATAGCCGCACCTGATAGGCACCCTCCGCGCACAGGCTGCGTGTAACCATCACCCGTTCAACTAGATCAGGCCGCTCGGCCAGCACTGCTAGTGCACTCAGGAACCTGCATGGAGCCAGGAAGCCTTACCAGATGCCCATATCTGGATGAATGCCCTGTCTTCCCATCTTTCCCTGGGCCCACCTGGCCCTGGCAGAAGCCTGGAGCCTCACCAGCAGTTCCCCAGCAGGCCCTGCAGGATGTCTGAAGGCCGGAGGGTATGAAAGACTGACCACGCAGTACTATGGTCTCTGAAGACAGAACAATTGATCTCGTGGGGCCGCAGCCACTGCTTCACACGTTGCTGGACACTGTCGCCCACTGGGAAGCCAACAGATGCAGGACCAGGGGGGAAGCTGTCATCCACAAAGTTCACGCTGTTCTGCAAGGACCATGGCCAGACACTTAGCCTGGGCAGGGTGGCCTTAGGTTCAGAATGATCCCACCCTGCAAGACCTACTCTCCCAGGAGAGCCCCAGAAAGATGGGGTAGACCTGAGTGCAGCCTAGACTTCAGTGCTGTCACCCTGCCCTGTGTGGAGGGCTCACCATTAGGCTGATTCTGAGTGGACGTAGGTGTACATGGCCAATTGGCCATGACACCACAGGCTGGGTGACAAGTGGGTCCCAGGAAGTGTGTGACCCTGGGAGATGGTGTGGCCCCAGCTGCTCGCCCTGAGGGTGAAGCCATCTGGGGCTGAAATTCTAAGGCTCAAAGGGACAGACCCTGAGGGTGTCCTGGCCTGGAGCTTTAGCAGGACCTCCATGTTGCCCTGGGCAGCATCACTGCGTCCCATCTCCCTGTAGGCTTACATAGGGGGGCTCAGGGCACCTCCTAAGTGTGGGGCGGAGGTAGAGTGATAAATGAGTGGTGGGGGGTGGATGTCACATTTGCTCACAAGCAGGGAACAGCACTCAGGAGGCCAAGCTGGTTCTCAGATCAGGGGAAAAGGCCACTCACCTCCCTGCAGAAGGCCACAATGTTCTCCCAGAGTGCCTTGGCCTCGCCCTCATCTGTCTGCCGGCGCTTCTCCACATGCACGCTCTCCCTGCGCCTCAGGGGCGTGGCTCCCCGGCGTTGGGTCACCAGGAGTTGCGGTGTGTGGCAGGCTGCACAGTGCTTGGCCCGGGGTGTGTTGATCAGGGTGCAGGCAGGGCAGGCCCACTGGCCAGGGCGCTCAGGTAAGAGGTGGGCAGCCTTGTGTGCTAAAGGGGCTCGTCCACAGCAGCCACCACAGGGGCCAGACTTGTCGGAGCCACAGTCAGGGCAGTGGGTGGGGGGCTCGCTGTGCTCCTGGAAGCCATGCAGCTTGGAACAGCCACACACTGAGCACCTGGGGGCTGCTGTAGGGTTCCTGAGCGTGCACTTGGCACATGACCAGGTGGTGAAGTCAGGGCTGGAGGGGCTGGCGGGTGTGTAGCGCACTGTGTCTCCAGCCAGATCAATGATGTCGCTGCCTGGCACAGAGCTGCAGGCCTCACAGTGTGCAGGGCTGCTTTCTGGGGCCTCCTCCTCCAGCACACTCAACCTCTTGCCTGATAGCAGCTCTGCCAGGCGGGAGGTCCCAGCTACAGAGCGGCCTGGGCCCTGGGGAGGCCCTTTGGAGCTGGTAGAGGGTGAAGGCTGAGCAGCCTCAGGCACGGGTGGCTGAAGCTGGGGAGGAACCTCTCGGCGGCTTCGGGGTACAGGGTTGTTCTGCAGGGTAGGTGAGAAGGGGCTGAAGGGCGGTACTCTGGGGGTCTCCTGATCGGCAGAGGTGGGACCCTGGCTAGTGGAGGGAGGGTCAGGCTCGGCACCTCCTCCAGGAAGGACAGGCTGGGGTGGGGCAGGAACAACATGGAAGCCCACAGGAGCCACAACCTCAGGGACCACTAGGGCCTCTGGGGGGATCCGGGGCAGTGACAGTTTCCTGGGGCCGCCACAGACGGAGCAGGAGCTGGCCACGGGTGTGTTGTGCAGGGTGCAGCGCTGGCAGGCCCAGCCACTTTCTGGCTCTGCCCCCATCCCCTCGTCTTCCTGCTCCTTCTCCACATCCTTGTGGAGCCCCCCAGTTGGCTCCACAGCCACTAGCCCAGTTGTCTGCACAAGGCCTGCATCCTCCTTGCAGCTGCCCTTTGGTTCCACCAGGACAGTAGGTGGCTTGGGCAGGACCCCATTGATAATGGGTAGGAGGGAGGCCCCAGGCACGGGTTCTGGGGTGAAGCCGCACACCTCGCAGGCCTCCTTGCCTAAGAAGTTCCGGAATGTGCAGCGGGCACAAGGCCATTTCTGCTCCTCTACGCTGAGTCGAAGGATCTGGTCCAGGTCAGGCTTGTGCCGGGGGGCCTCGCAGATGGAGCACTGGCGCTGGCCAGCCGGGTTCAGGAAGGTGCAGCGCACACAGGACCACTCCCCAACAGCGGCCATAGACCCAGGCGAGTGTGTGTGGCTGCAAGGGAAGACACTGCTAAGTGGGGCTCCAACGTGGTCATAATATCCCTTGAGCAGCAGGACACCACCCTGCCAGAGAGGGCAACAAGGCTGGGAGGAGGTGCTTGTGCTCAACTGTAGAGCCAGAGACATGGGATGGTGGCTCAGGCAGGGTCAGGCCATGGCTGCCCAGAGCTCAGGAGGGTAGGGAGCTGCCATCAGAAACAGACGGCCTAAAGCCACCAACAGGGTGGATCTTCAGTTCTGTGGCACCTCACCTGTCGGGGTAGGGCAGACTTCTTGGGTCCTGGTCCCTGGGGCAGCACCAGGATCTGGCTAAGGACTGGGCCAGGAGGCCTGCACCAGGCACCGTCCTGAAGACATGACACACCCTTCCTCCCTGAGCTTTGAGACTGGATGCAAGAACACAGTATGTGGAGTGCAGCCCTCTGCATTAAGGGGTTCCTGGTCTGACCACCTCCCACCAGGCTGGGCTGCTGCTCCTTCCAGGTGGATGGGGAGGTTGTTGGGGCCCATGGTGGTGCTTAGTTGCTGAGGCATCTCCACACTCCTCATCTCAAACTGACTGGTTTATCTGCCTGCAGGGAAATCAATTGCTCCTTACAATGAGGCATGAAGCTCATGCTTCTAACCCTTTTGGTTGAGGAAGAAAGAAAACTCGCCCTTTCAGAAAAAAAACAAACAAAAAAATCCTCCCCAAGCAATGTGATTGTTTCCAGAGCCGACTCAGATGCCACCTGCCTTATGCAGGCTGAATGCCAAAAGGAAAGACAGGCAGAGCCAGGCCTGGCCCTGTGTGGCAGAGCTGATGAACTGCCCACAGCCTTGCCGACAGTGGGCAGGGCCCAAGTGGACAGAAGGGGCTCCCTAGAACCCTAGACCAGTAGCTGTACTAGGCTGGCCTCAGAGCCTGGACCAGAGGTCAGTTTTGATTTCCGGCTCTGTGCTTGGAAAAGCCCCAGGGCTGCCTGGTAACAACCAGACCTCTCCCCTCCCCCACTTGGAGAAGTGCTCTGGGTCAAAGCTTGAGTGCCTACACGGAGACCTGCACACAGTCATCACTCACTGGTGGGCTTCTGGCTCCAAACTGGGCATTCTGGAGTTTCCTAGTGAGCAGTAGAGAGGGTGTGACCCACTGCAGCCCAATCCCCAAGAGGAGTCTCCAAAGAGAAGACTCAGGCCCCATGTAGGGTTCCCCTCCCTGGGGAATATACCCTGCCTCAATCCCAGGTTGGCACAGATTTAGGAAGAGCTGGGTGCCAGTGGCTCAGGCCTATAATCCTAGCTACTCAGGTGGCAGAGATCAGGAGGATCACTGTTCGAAGCCAGCCTAGGCAAATAGTTCCTGCAGTCCTATCTAGAAAAAACCCATCACAAAAAAGGGCTGGTGGAGTGGTTCAAGATGTAAGCCCTGAGTTCAAACCTCAGTACTACAAAAAATAAATAGAAACACCAGGAAGGAGGGAGTATAGGTCCCTGTCTACCCCAGGAACCAGCTGATGTGGCCAATGCCTTGCCTGGGTCTGGCTGAACCTGAGGCATAGCATCTGCTGGCCTGGCCAACACCTGCAAGGAAGGAGAGGCAGGGCACAACAGATGTGGGAGCCATTCCAGTAGATGAGCCAAGTCAGGAAGATTCTGTTTGCAGTATGGGAAGTTTCAAGCGAAAATAATGCCTGAAGATCAACTTGGCCCTGGAAAACAGGGAAAATTGGATAGAAGGGCAAGCTTGGCCCCTTTGTGACTGGAAGAGGTCTGTTGGGACCAGAGAGATTCCACCTGGCCATCTCCCAGGCCTTTGCATTGTGTGGACTGAAGTGTAAGGGGGCTTAGGACTATTGGGTTGCGAAGATCTGACAGCGCCCCAGCCTTCACCCCCCTCAGCTCATTCCCTCTGGTGCCCACTATCCACGTCCACCCCCTACACTGCAGGGCCTGGGAGTCAACCAAGGGTTCAGAGACCTGAAATCCCTAATGAATCAGCAGACAAAGACAGAACACCACCAAAGCCAGAAAGTAAAAGCCTTGTCAGTTGCTGAAGACTCAAACCAAACTTTAGACAGGTGGCAAAGCCCTTCCAGAATTCTCAACACAAGCTAGGGTGTCACTCCGTGGCACAGCACTTGCCTAGCATGTGTGAGGCACTGGGTTTGATCCCCATCAACAGAAATAAAAAAGATTCTTTTAAATTCTTAACATGAAATGCTCCCAAATCATGTAGCACATAGGCTCAGACCTGACACACCTGTACCGCAGGACACAGAAGCAATTCCACCTTCACAGAACACTGGCTCACGAATGAGGGCAAACTGAGGCACCTGCCAGAAGTCCACAGCGAGCATCTGCTCTGCCCTCAGCTTCCTGAGCCTGCCAATGTTCAGCTCCAATTCAAAGGAAGGCCATGAGCTTCCGGGCTGCATGACAAAGTCCACCTGAGCAACCAGGAAATGAGCACCTACAGAAGACCTTTCCCCTCTCAGGAAAATCCAAGTGACTGTCCCACCCACAAGACTTTGGTCAGAGCCACCTGACCTGAGGCTGGGCTTCCAAAGCAGTTGGCCCATTAACCCATACCATGAGACATATTCCCTTGCCCAACTGTGCAGCTTCATGCCTGACCTGTCAGTTCCTGCAGGGTGATGGGCTTGGTTTGACAGCTTCTCCCCCCATCTTGTAGTATACTACACCCTGAAGGCTTTTGCCCAATGTCCAGGGGTGAAAGGGTATGCTTTTCTCCAAAGTTACCACTGGTCCCCTTTGGGGTGGGGGAAGACACCAGGCCACTCTCCTGGGCCTGGTTGGCCTTCCTGGGTGTGTCCGTTCCTAGGTAGGCAGTGCTGAATCAATTGCTTACATATTAACCACCCAGGTGAGGAAGCATGAGACACAGCTGTCTCACTGTCTCAGGTAGTCTGTGAGCTGCCTTCCTCTTCATCCCTACAAGAGGGGACACCTGGGGGAGAGAGCCTGTGCTCCTGTGGTGTGGTGAGACTTTAACAGTCAATGATGCAGCATACCCAGGTGGGCAGTTCTTCAGAGATGTCAGGAGCTGCCACCACTGCTGATTTCAGCCCCATGCCTCTCCTAGCACACCCATTGCTCCATTAGAGCCGGGAAAAGATCTACCAGACCATTTACCATGCTTATGCCTTGCTGCCCCCACGTGTGGCCTGACGAATGACCACAGTGCAATGTCATCACCAGCTTTCCCATCTGCCGTATCCAGCTCCCAGGAAATGTCCTCTCATCTCCAGAGTGTTCCTCAAGTTTATTAACAGATCCTCAAGGTTATTAACAGCATTTCCTCCCAATTTGCCTTGGGTGCCCACTGCCCAGGTGGCAGACAGTAAGTGCCCTAAGGCCCAGGGCACATACAGTGAGAACGAGTGGCTACTGGGGACACCGGATCAGGGGAGGGGCCTGGCAGAGGCATGGGTGAAGGAAAAGTGACACCACATTCTCAGGTACCCTCCACCTCCCCCCCGGCACTCTCCCCTTCTCCCCCTCCACCTCAAAGGGACCTGCCCAAAAACAGTTTGTGATTTAAAAACCTCGAGCTTTCATTTGCTCACATGGACTTAGTGAAAAATAAAAGTAGCAAAGCCATTCTCTTACATGTGTGTGGTGAAGTTCACTGCCGGAGCACTGCCTGCCAACAAGACACTGAGAATGCAATCCACTGCACAGCTGCAGCACAGAAAGCCACAGTCTGGGCCCAGCAAATCTACTCTTCACCATTTTTCCTCAGGATATAAATAAATGGGATAAAAAAGACATATATGGGTAGACTAAAAACATGAAAAGATGTTCAACATCATTAACCATTAGGGAAATGCAAATCAAAGCAGGTAAGACACCACTGCACATGCTTTAGAATGGTTAAAGTTAAAAAGACAATTAGATGCAGTGTCCAGAACAGGGGTACAAAATCCTCCCGACACTGCCCATGGGAATAGAAAAATGGCACAGCTGCTGGAAAAGTAGTGTGGCAATTTCTCAGAATACTACATAAACTCACCATCAAACCCAGCAATTCCGGTTCAGGGATCTACTCAAGACAAAGAAAACACAGGCCATGCAAACACTTTTACGTGAATGTTCACAGCAGCATTTTTCATAAAAGCCAAGTGGAAACAAACCAAGTGTCTGTGAACAGGTAAACCAAAGGTAATCTAGCCTCACAATAGAATACTAATTTGTAAAAAGAAGTGAAATTCTGATACAGGCAGCAATATGGATGAAGCTTGAAAACTTTACACTGAGTGGAAGCACACATAAGGCTACGTATTGTGATTTTCACGTAAAATTTCTAGAGAAGCCAAACCTATGGACAGGAAGCAGTTAGTGGCTATGTAGGGCCAGGATGTGGGTCACGGCAAACAGGTGAGATCTCTTTAGGGTGCAAAGATGCTGCAAACTGGCTCATGCGGATGGCTCATGAGGACGTCTGCACACAGTTAGGAACTAATCAGAAATTTATAACAGGTGAATTGATAGTGCAAAAGCCCTATCTCAACAAAGCTATTTAAAGACATAGGGAGGCATTCTCTGGAGCACTGTAGTGTGGACAAGAGGAACTGGGGACAAACTCTTAATGCTGTCCCATGAATGTGAAAAAGCACCCTATCCTGCCCACAGTCACCAGGCCTGGCTACTCTGCCCCTCATGGGTCCCTGCAACAGTTCTGCCCGTGGACCTTGAGTTTCCCAATGGCTCCCATCCATAAGGGTAACTCAGACTCTGGACTCTCCTGCAGCCTGTGACACCCTTCAGCACACCCTTAGGTCCCTTGTCTGCCAGGAGTCAGACCTTGGTGTCAAAGTCATCCTGGGAGGTCCATCCCCTGCCTGTTGCCCACAGCTCCATGCCTGCCCCTTCCCAATGCTGGCAGATGGCAGGCAGGTGAATTAAGCTGTCTATGGGAAGTCACTGCCATGAACACACAGCAGGTGCCTCAGAAAGGGGGCCAAGAGTATGTCTCCTGTGGAACCCAGGGCTGTGCAGGGAGCAGAGCTACTACTGCTGCATCTGCCTCAAGCCTGAGCCCCTAGTGTTGGGAGAGCACCAGACCCCCTCCCAACAGGCAGCTAAGGGTACGGAACAGCTTGAAGGAAGCTGATAGGTGAAGGTCTGCCACAGTAGCTCTCCACACCCCACAGTCTCATGATCTTCTGTAGGCCATGTTGAAGAAGGGGCATGTTGAAGCAGGGCAAGCAGAAAGAGTCCAGTCCTGAAATTCCATGGGAAGCAAGCCAGTATTAAGTGTGTGCCAGTCACAGGGTCTAGGGCTGGTGGTTGCTGATCCCAAGAGGGTATCCAGACAGCTTTCAAAGGAGCACCATAGGCCACTGGAACGCACTACCCAATGGTGGGCTGTTCCACACACCCCAGGCAGGAGGAGGGTTCAAGACCTGCCTGGCCAAAAGTGGAGACAACCCCAGAGCCTCTCAGCCCTTGCACCTTTGGGAAGAGCAAGTTGCAGAGAGCCCTGAGAAATAGGGACCCCAATTCTGAGCAAGCACCTCTGCCAAGGAGGGACACCTTGAAAAAGAGGCCTCCTGCCCGAGACCCCTCTGGGGTAGCCCCTCCCCACCTTCTTACCTTCGGGCCCGGGGGCGTGGGTGCTGTCTGGTGACCAGGGCACTCCCCCATACAGGCCCCCCAGGACTGCTCCTACACCAGCCAGCTGCTGCTGGGGGCCCTGGGTAGGGCGGTCCCCCTGGAAAGCCGTGGTCCGACTCGGTCTCGGCAGCCAGGGAGGAGGCGGAGCTCCCCATGGCCCCCCTGACAGCGGCCACGCTGAGAGCTGGGCCTGGTCACCTCTGGCCAACAGCACGTGAACGGAAGCATGGAGAGAGGAGAGTGCCCACACTGGAGACAGGGCAGCTGGCTGGTCAGTGACACAACAACAAAAATAAACAGAGAGAGAATAAAAAGAGAGAAGAAACAAATGTGATTCACATAAACCAAGCTCTTAGGCCCTGGGAGGATTTCCCAGCTGCCAAGAAGCCTGGGGTGGGTGAGGAGAGAGCCAGAAGTAGGAACCTGAGTTGATCCTGCGTATTCAGCACAAGGCTCCTCCCACAGCTTGGCCCCACAAGTCGGTGAAGGTTGGGGGCTGAAAGCCAGTACCTCATGTAGCCACAACCCCTAACCTGGGACACTGGGGTCCCAGGACATCACCTCACCCCAACCCTAAAGACCCATCAACACCCACCACACCCAATTTATCTCTGGTCTTCACAGGGGTTTTGCTTCTCAGTTGGAAAAGAGATCACAGTTTTGCCTTACTATAAAAAAAGGAGCAAGGGAGCATTTAGCCAAAGGAAAAAGAAAAGGAGGGAGCAGAAGGCATGGCAGGGCTGGTTCAGGCCTCAAAGAAGGGTACTTGGAGACATCAAAGTCCAGAGGAAAACTTAGGGACCTGGAACCAGGTTGTGCCTTCAAAAGGACAGCAGCTGACTGCAAACCCATACTCCCTGGGCAGGCTCCAGACCCAGAGAAACACAAGAAACCTGAGATTGGCCATGCCTGTGGACAGGGGCCAGCCCCTCAGTCTTCCTGTTGGGTGTACTGCCTGTGCTGCAGAAGACACCACATTACACCTGCTGGCCAAGAAAGCTGAAACCAAACACATCCTGAGGGTGTCAACCCTGGGCCAGGAAGGACCTGACAGCCCAAGGATGACACACATGGGGTGCCTGGGTCTTCAGGGGTCTGGACTACAGTGGGCATCCATGCTGCCCTTTTGATTGTAGGTGGACTAGCAGCTTGGCCTGGCCTAAGTCGTCCCTATCTTGGAGTCTACTGTCATCCACTAACAGTCCTTTTCCTGGTTTCTGAGTAAGCCCCCAGGATACTGAAGCTGATGTCAGGATGGAACTGGGGGGAGATGGAAAAAGGGGCCACAGGACATGTTCTCAGTGTACAAGTAGGTTTGGAGGAAAGTGCGGGCTTTCCTACATGGCAGGCAATGGGACTGTGTGCCCCTTCAAGAGCCAGCACCTGACATTTGAGAGAACCAGTAGCACCAAGCCCAGCACCTTCCCAACATTTCTCAGGCCATGAGGCCTGCACAGTTCTGTAACCTCTTGCCATCAGACTTCAATCAGAACCATCCAGGTCCCCTGTGCAACAATAACATTTACTTGACCACCTTCTCAGTGTTGGCTTCTCACAAGGGACTGGCCCTGGCTGGCCTAGTGACCCTGCAAAACCATGGCTGTTTAGACCTTCCCCGTGAACAAAGCAGGCACTGCACATACACTATGGTCCATAGCAGGGTCACAGAGTATGCAGAATGGCTTGAGGGCCAAGTCCAGGCAACTTTTACAATTTGTTTTTGGTGGGACTGATGTTTGAACCCAGGACTTTGTGCTTTGGTTATTTTCGAGATGGAGGTCTCGTGAACTATTTACCAGGGCTGACCTTAAACCGAGATCCTCCTGACCTCAGTCTCCCAAGTAGCTAGGATTTCAGGCATGAGCCACCAGCGCCTGGCTACAATTTTTTTTTCTTGTGGTGCTAGGAATCGAACTGATGCCCTTGTGCATGTTAGGCACCGCCACTGAACTACAACCCCAACCCCAGCTTTTGTATTTTAAATGGCTAGAAAAAAATCAAAAGGAAAATAATATACTATGGGAGGTGAGAATTATATGAAATTTAAGTTTCAATCCACAAATAAGTTTTATTGGATATGGCTACAGTCATTCGTTTACATATTGTGGTTGCTTTTAGAGATCAAGTAGCCCAAAGAGATGCAAGTGTTCTTAGTCTGAGCAAGCCAGACAGCACAGCAGAGGTTCAAGTTACCTAGAAGTTAAAGATGGTCAAAAAAAAAAAAAGCTAAAACAGGTAAAGCTGGGTGTGGTGGCCCACACCTATAACCTCAGCACTCAGGACCTAGAGGGGGTTAGATTGAAGGATTTGAGGCTAGCCTGAGCTACACAGTGAGATCCAATCAAAACAAAATGAACAAATAAAAAGAACTTTGACATACTTTGTGTAACCTAATATAGCTAATGAACATTTTTTTTGGTTGTATTGGTGTTTGAACTCAGGGCCTTGAATTTGCTAGGCAGGTGCTCCACCACTCGAGCCGTCCCCAGCTCTGTAACCCAATGTATCTAGAATATTGTACCATTAGTATGAAATCATCAGAGAGGATATTACTGAGTGTCTTTTTTTTGGTCAAGGGTTTGTGTGCGTGTGTGTGTGTGTGTTACTGGGGCTTGAATTCAGTGCCTATACCTTGAGGTATACTCTCTCTACCACCCCTATTTTTGTGATTTTTTTTTTTTTTTTTTTTTGAGCTAGGGTCTCGGGAACTATTTGCCTGGGCTGGCTTTGAACTGCGATCCTCCTGATGATCTCTGCCTCCTGAGTAGCTAGGATTACAGGTGTGAGCCATGGGCGCCCAGCAAGGTTTGTTTTTGTTTTTGTTTTTTAGAGACAGGGTCTCACTATGAAGCCCAGGCTGGCCTTAAACTCCTCTGTCCTCTGCCTCAGATGCCAAGAGCTTACAGATGCATATGACTATGCCTGGCTGGGTGAGTTTTGGACTGTTTTCCAGGTCAACATGGACGTGGCCTCTTTCGGGTCTCTGAAGCCACTGTGTGTTGGTGGCTTCCACATGGGGTACAGCAGTGAGCTTCAGTCCATAAGGCTGCTGTTGCTGGGAGGTTTCTGGCCAGATGACCAGCAAAGCATAATCCCTAGCTGTCAGTCCCACATCACCAGGGTTATGCAGGACACCTACCTCTCTTGTGGTTATGCACTGGTGCCAGAGCAACCCCCCACACTGCTGAACCCCTGCACACAGGCGCTTCCTGTGGAAAATGGGCCCTGACAGTTCTGGTACTCACAGCCAAACCCTGGGAAGGTGGGGGTTGGGAAGGTGGGGGTAGGCAAGGTGAGGGAAGCCAAGCTCAGTGGAGTTGCAATCAGGGCAGAAACTGCTCATAACTGGGTCCTGAGCTGTTCTGTTGCCAACATTGGGCCTTGCCCATGTTCACTGTGAAAGCAGGAACCATGCACTTTAGGGGTCACCTACCTGCCCCTACCCTGGAAGAAGATACCAGGCTCCTGGGTGGAGCCTGAATGCCACTGGAAGCATGGCTCCCATGGGCCCCACTTGCCCCTTACCAATCTAGTAGGCCTAGGACAGAGATGGTATCCACCTGCTCAGTGGGGCATGTCTTCCTTCCCCTGTGCTTGTTCACTGGGGACACCTTCCCTGAATTGGGTCCAGCCTGGGAAACTGATTCTGATGGGAAGGGGACAAGTCCTGTCATGGGGGTAGGGTAGGTCTCTCCTGGGAGAATGAGGACAATATCATATCCTCTTGCTGAGTACGCAGAACAAAGAGGAGAGGTGGGCAGGAACAGCACTCATTCTCAGGATCCCTAGGATAACATTTGCCCCAGCCACCTCTAATCTGCTGCCAGGGAAGAAGGAACTCCCGTAGGGGGGGGGTGAGGAGCCCCTGCCCTGACTGGCTAAGTCCCACGTCTGCCCCAGAACCCTGAGAAAAGACAACTGGTACAATTTCAGCTCCCCAGGGAGTGACTAGCCTTGGCTGGAGTGGGGCACACATTGCAGGGTGGGAAGCTGATATAAATGCATCTCTTAAAACCCACTCTCTTTCTGCTGGTCTTCCACGGTTACAGCTATTGGCCCCAGTCTTTCTGTGTTCCCTGTGATTGTATGGTGGGCAGCTGTGCAAAGGTTCTACATGCCTTCCTTCTGGAGTGATGAGAACTGTCCTCAGGGGTTTCTGAGGGAATGGGGAAAATCTAGCAGTAACCCCAGGAGACCTAGCCTAGCAGAGCTGATTTCTACTCAGCTCTGGCCAGCCCTCCACAGAGGTGATGCCACTTGTCTGAGATCGCCCCATCCAAGGTCCCCTCCACCCCATCCTAAGCACACCAGTGAATAAGTATGTGGTGCTAGGCAGGGATCCTGAGGAGTACTCACACGAAGGCAGGGGGGAGAGGGGAGGTCAATCCAAGTTCACAGCCTGAATAACCCAGGGAACAGGTGAGATCTTCCACAAAGTAGTGTTGTCCAGTCTGTCCTTTAGACAGGAGGACAAGGACCTCAGAGCAGAGCACAGCATGGCTCCCAGCCTGGGTGACAGCCCAAGCTGCCCTCCAGAGGGATCCCTCTTCTTCAGGGTCTGCTAGCTGGCAAAGCCCCAGACTCTGATGAGTGACCTACCTGCTCTCTACTCATGTGTTCTTGAGCTCAGTCAACATCCATCAGCCTCCCCTCCATGCCAGCCTGTTTTAGGTGGCTGGACATGGCAACCAGCAATGCTCAAAGACCCTCGCTATAGGCACTAACTTCTCACTACTGCATAACACCTGGCAAAAGTCAGAGCACCACAACCACACCAGCCTCTGGACTCATGGAGGGAAGGAGCAGGATACACGGAGGACAATGATGCATGCTTCTCATTCAGGTGGACTCTGTATCTGCTCAGCCCTGGGCCCCATGTCTGCCCCACCCCAAGATGACTGGCCAGTTCCTCCTTTGCTTTCACTTGGAAACTGCTGTCCTAATTTTAAATGGGGTGGTGGCCTAGATCTGGCCTCAGGGAAGCATGGAGGTGGGGCAGCCACTACCTTGCAAGGACAAGATGTTAATTACCAGGGCCAGTGGCTTATCCCCAGCCATGGTGTGAGATGTGCCCTGCATGCTGCACACACTAAGGA